CAAACAAACAAACCAACCAACAAACAATGTTAATGCAACCACAGATGTTACGTACAGTTATAAACATAAACAGAAACTAATTATTTTTCTATTTTTATCTAATAATAATAATATCCTTTTATTTTCTAACTCCAAATAAATACCAAATATTAATAATGAAATAATTATAAAATCCTATTTATTATAATAATAACAAATAACAATATGAAGAACAAAATCCAAGAACACGAATTTGGGATATTTGAAATGATGGAGCGCAAATTCAACACTTAATAAACAAATCAATGGCATGATGTTCAGGATGGTTAATAATAACAATGTACAGACAGACCCACACTACATTAATAATATAAAGATATAGAGAGTATAAATAACAGATGATGGCGACGATAAAGACAAGAGCAATGATGAAATAAAAAGCTTAAAATTAGCTGCAGACCTGTTTCATTAGTAAAAAAAAACGAAAAACAAATAATTAACTTTTATGTCTTCAGCTGAAATTAACTACTGTTTTAAAATGGCATGACAAAAATAATGAATATAAATTACCAAATTGGAAGACATCTAGTCAGAAAAAGGATTGCAGGGTATGACAAATTTAGAAAAAAATAAAAATATTGGTTAATAAACCTGAAAAATAGGCAAAACAACATTATCAAACTCAATTTTATTTAACTTTTGTTAATTCCTCAAAAGATCTTTAATATAATTTGATATTTTAATAAAAACAAAATGAGTAAACACAATCAAAGGTAAACTTTCATTAACACAGCCAATAGAAATAGGAAAAAATGTCAACAAAATGATTTACTATCTGTGCTTCCTGATTGGAGCATTAAAGCTTAGCCAAAAATTATGTAAAAACTGACCGCTAGTAATTCAAACAAAACAATTAACTGCTTGTTGGCTGAACATAAAGATGTAAGATATGGTTACATATATGGAACCACAACAACAAATAATTACACATACACAGACACACACACCACACCCACACCAACACACACACACACAAACACAAACAAGCACACACGCGCGCACCCACGCACGCAAACGTACTTCATATATATCTTAGAAAAACAATTTCAAAAACATATATGTGTTCTAGTGTTCTTGTTGGTTATCTTGAAAATGAGCATGTCAAGTCTAATTCTTCAATTTATATTATAGCATAGCAGGAAAGGCATATGAACCAAATATAGGTTTTTACTCACATAAAGAAATTAATTATAGTTTTTGTTGTAGTATAATAAACAAACTTAACCAAACAAAACAAATACCAAAGGTTATATTTTCTACAATTCGATACAATGTTAAATCTATCATTAACGTATCAGCTTTCTTTAATTTAAAGCATCAAGACACCATAAGATCTGAACACGCATTATTTATTTAACCACATTTTTGCAGTAAATAAAATCTCAACCAGAGTTATAATAAATCAGCCATGAGTAAATGTGGCAATAATAATTAACTACAACAACATAAAAAAACATTATATATGGCAGTCCATTAAATGATGCACATGTACCGTTTACAAAACAATTACAGACAGAACCAATCTATACACATTTACTACTGCACGTAAAATTACAAAAACTAAGACAATTACTGGTTCTGAATGGTTGTTAATGCTGGGGGTGGTGATGGGGATAAGCTCCCATCATCTATAAAATGCTCCCATATGGCAAGCATCTCAAAGAGCCTCTGACAACCAAGCCCAACTCCTGGCCTTCACGCGGCAGAACTGTTTAAACTAACAGGAGAAGGGGCGAAGGCGAATAACTGGCGCCATAACCAGTTGCTTCGGGCAGGTGAAGCTCGTTAGCCTTGGTCGGCTATTTACCTAGGAGAAGGAAAACTCTGACTTCAAACCTCCGCTGCCTTGCGGCATACCTGTTCATGGAAAAGGCTATGGGAGCAAATCCAGACAGAAAACCACACTCCACCACCTGAGTTGCGGTCCAGTAATATCAGGTGCCGGTCCAAAGTCCGGATAGAAAGGAATGGTTGGCAGGAGCTTGCTACACTGTCGTAAAAACGCTAATAACACGATGGTAGTCCAAAAAAAGTATGCACATACCGACTCGGACGTCGCCCGGGTGAACAAGGTCCGCGCTGCAGCTTTGGGGACTAGAGGCTGCAGTGTAAAATATGCTACTGAGTCCCAGAAAGATAGACTGAAGATGGGGTTGACAGTTGGAGTTTGGAATGTCAGGTCATTGTGGCAGACAGGGGCTTACGCGTTGATGAAGAAAGAACTTGAACGATTCAGATATGATGTGGTTGGTCTGTGTGAGGTCCGATGGACAGGAGGTGGAGAAATGGAAGGTGGGAAAATAATATGGTCTGAAATAGAGAAGGAGCACGTCTATGAAGTTGGAATGGTTATTGGCAAAAAAGCAAAAAAGGCACTGTTGGAGTACAATCCAGTGAATGAAAGAATGATGTATGCGAGGTATTAGAAGTAATAAAAGCAATAAAGAAAATAAGGAACAACAAGAGCACAGGGAGAGACGGAATTCCTATAGAGCTGATCAAAGCGGGAGGACCAATTGTATGTAATGAGATTCACAAAATCTGCCAAGAAATCTGGGACAGTGGAAAATGGCCAGAAGATTGGTGTAAATCAATCTTGATCATGTTGCCAAAAAAAGGAGACCTGAAAGACTGCAACAACTACAGATCAATAGCACTGATCCCTCATATGTGCAAGATCATGCTGACGATCTTGAAAGAACGATTGGAGAAAGACATAGAGCAGTATTTAGGAGAGGAGCAGGCAGGTTTCAGAAAGGACAGAAGTAGAGTCCAGCAAATCCTGATGTTGAGACTATTGTTAGAAGATGCAGGAAGCAGAGGTCAAACAACTTTTCCTTGTTTTGTGGATTTTAAGAAGGCGTTTGATTCAGTCTGGCACGAAGGTTTGTGGGCAACTTTGGAAAGTATGGGAGTGTCAACAAAAATGATAAGGGTGCTGAAAGGGCTTTATGAGGAGTCAACAATGGCGGTAAAGGTAGGTACAGAGCTGGGAGACTGGATCAAAGCGAACATAGGAAGTAGACAAGGAGATCCAATATCACCATTACTGTTCTTAGCACTGTTGGAAAGAGCCTTGGAAAAAATGGAGAATGCAGATATTGAGGGAATCGACATTGGAGGCAGAGTGATAAGGGACCTCAGGTTTGCAGATGATATAGATCTGCTAGCATCTAGTGCAGAGGGTCTACAGAAACTGATCGAGTTGACGTATGATGGTGGAAGAAACCATGGACTACACATCAACAGCAGTAAGACAGGTGGAAACAATGATGAATTCCAGATAGGAGCAGAAAAGCTCGAACAAGTGAACCAATTTATATATCTGGGCAGCCTCATAACTGATGACAATAATTGTTCGAAAGAAATTGATAGAAGAATAGCAATCGCGAGAGGAATGTTTGCATCTTTGAAAGTAATATTGAAAAACGGTAATGTATCTACAAAAACAAAATTAAAGATCGTAGAAGCGTGTGTGTTTTCTACATTGATGTATGCATGTGAGGCTTGGACGTTGAAGAAAAGATACAAAGACAAACTGGAAGCATTCGAGATGCATTGTTATAGAAAGTTGCTGGGAATCAGTTGGAGACAAAAGATAAGAAACGATGCCATAAGAAAAAAAGTGGGAAGACCTGTGAGGAAGTGGATAGATGATATCACGGAATGGACGGGGGTTGGAACATTGGGCTCAATGAAGATGGCGAGGGAAAGAAAAGGATTTTGGAGAGATAGAAGAATACCATCGGCCTCAACGGTCCCTTAAGGGATTACAGAGGATCATTGAATGAATGAATGAAAAGACAATTACTAACACTTACTGTCTGAGTACTTGAAAATACAATTTTTACTTCTCATTACTACCCACATACACATTATATAAATTATTACATTGAAAGAAAAAAATAAACATCTGGATTACCGTGCCAAGACAAATATTTGCATGTGCATTGATGATATTGACATTTGAAACACTAGTCACATAAGAAATCTAATTGTCATATTCTTTGGTCATGATGACGAAGATGATAATTACAACAAAAACAATGATGGCCAAGATGATAATGACGATGACGACGACGACGATTCACAATTCTATTTTAAAACACACGATAAGTGTTAATATAAAAAATTGATATTTACAATGGAGGCAACAAAAATATTTCTCCATAACTATATTGGAGGGTTGAAAAATAATAGTAGTCACATAGACTTATTCTGATGAATTAAAAAAATCAAACACAACTCTCTGGTCAGTTGTGTAATAAATAAATAAACAGCTGCAGCTACACACACGCACACGCACGCACGCACACGCACAAATAATGTCAATTGCTAGTCATTCAGAAAAAACACAAATGACAGCCTAACTAGCCAAACACATTCAGAAACACAAATGACAGATATGAAGAAGGATGAATTATTTATAGATATGTTAGATTATAATAAACAACACTTAAGGAAATTATGGTGGATAATAATAATTATTAATTATTACTGTTTAAGTAGAAAAATAATTAATGAGTGATAACAAAAAGTAAATACTTTTGCTTAAATAATAATAATAAGAAAACAGGATTGATAAAAATCATCAGATACAGAATGATGACATACCATTCAATTTTAATGATAATGAAATTTTACATCACATGATCAAATGATGATAACTGAGTGAGTCTAATAATTACTGTAACCACAACTACTTCCATTAATCTAGGACGATGAGATTGTGAGGAGTGTATGTACATTGCATGATAAGCAGCAGGGAAGAACAATTTAATTAGAAGATATTAAAAATAATATAAACAGAAAATTAATCAAAACATTAGTTGAACAACACAAGCTCTCATCTCTTTCCGCTTTCAATGCTAACATGAACAAACTTATAATGAAACATAAAGTTAATAGAACATATCCAGGCAATGCATTCCCCAAGAGCACTACACCACACCAGCACTAACTTGGATAAAGAAATGCCTCCAGGTTTGTTGATGTAATCTTCATGATGCATCACTCGCTCGTCCCATGGAATGTCCAAAAACTTAAGAACCTGTGTGTGTGTGTGTGTGTGTGGTGTGTGTGTGTGTGTGTGTGTGTGTGTGTGTGTGTGTGTGTGTGTGTGTGTGTGTGTCAGAAATGGGTGCATAAGAGATGTAGTGGTGTGAGGGGGGCACTGAAAAAGATGGAAGGCACGTTCAAATGTAAGAAATGTGTTCATGGTGTGATTAATAGGACGGACGCAACGACGGGGTTGAGTGGTGGTATTGAAAGAGTGGAAAGCTTTGTTTACTTAGGGGATAAGCTGAACGCGGATGGAGGACGTTCGAGCGCAGTTACGGCTAGAGTTCGTGTGGGATGGATGAAATTTAGGGAACTGGGTGGGGTATTGTGTGGAAAGAAATGGTCAGTGAAGATGAAAGGGAGGGTATATAAAGCATGTGTGAGAGCAGCGATGGTATATGGTGGTGAAACTTGGGTGTTGAGGAGAGAGGAGGAAAGTGTACTGCAGAGGGCTGAAAGAGCTATGGTGAGGATGATGTGTGGGGTTAAAGTGAAGGATAGGAGGAGTAGTACAGAGCTGATGTCGATGATGGGACTGAATGAGGACATTGTGACATTGATAAGGAGATCGAGATTGCGGTGGTATGGACATGTGTTGAGAAGGGATGAAAGGGTCGGGATTAGGCGAGCGTTGGAGTTCGAGGTTGAAGGAGTGGTAGGAAGGGGTCGTCCGCGATTGGGATGGAGAGAGCAGATGGAGAAGGACAGGGTGAAAGTGGGGTTGCGTGATACTGAGGCGAGTGACAGATGTGGATGGCGTCTAGGGGTATTTTGGTTTCATCATAGGTAGCCCCCGATCTCGGGAAAAATGTCGTCTAAACGTGTGTTGTTGTTGTTGTGTGTGTGTGTGTGCGTGTGTGTGTGTGTGTGTGTGTAAGCAAATAAGTAGTTTCATGTGACTATGAGTAATCAAAAAACATAAGAACGTACACCGACTATCGCTATATATGTGAGATACGCTGAATTATTTTAATTATATCAAAAAAACGGTTGAAAACTTTGATTATGCAAGTTGAATGTTTAACTTTATAAAAAGTAATCTACAAATTTTTCATTTAAAACTTCCACACCCAAAATTTTGAAATTTCCCATAAATAATAATTCAAACCCTCGTGCCTACATTGTATCTTACCTTTTTTAAGCTTGTAATAATTCCTATTTAATGGAGTTTTTTTTTAAATACTGCTTTAAAAGTCAAAACTTTATGGGAGCAAGCATTTTAAAAATAATTTCATTAACCTTTCAACATCTATAGACAGAATTCAGTGCAGAGTAGGATAAGCTGTCAGATTTTCAAAAACTAATAACTTTAAGACACAAAATAAATGTAAACACACACACACAGACAAACGCGTATACATATAAATACAAAACATAATTAATAACAGCATTATCATTGATGTTTGATACTCAAATGTTATGAATTTGGCTAAAGCTTTCTAAACTGTATTTAAAAAGTATCACTACATCATAGTGGATGGTGGTTTCTGACACCTTCTGTCCCTATCTGCTTCTCAAGCTGATGCTGCCAAATAAAAAACTATTGACCATAAAAATTTCAAATTTATAAATAATTATACCTCAAACTATCGACATTAAACATTTAGCCTCTCATTCGAATAAATTATGTTCGTTCTATTGATCCGGCATATAGCTGGTAGATAATTCTCACCAAGATGGTAAATCAATGCAGTTAAGTTAAACAAAAATTTATGAGAAGAAGTAAGTGCAAACATGAGCCTGAGGCAACATATTGTTTAAACAGAACACGCTGTTGGTTGATATACAAGAACAACAAAACATCATCGTAACACTGTAGCACATTCATGTAACATTTTAGACATGAATGTAGCATAGTTACTTAGAAAACATCACAGCGTGCATGGGACATATTTTCATTTTGAATCAAAGCGCATTTAACAACTGAGGAGTTACAACAATAATAAAACTGTAACCGACTATCATTCGTGACGTTTAAATGTTTAGTATGTAGAAAACGAACATAAACCTGAAGGTCGATGAGCAGGGATTTGCCTAAGGCATTATGAATTATAACATCAACGAACTGTAAACTAACAAAAAGGTGACACACTCTAAAAGGTTAGCAAAATTAGCTGCCTGACGAGCTGAGATCAGAAATAGATTAATTAATTAATTAATATATATAATTAATTATTAATTTATTTATTTACACGACCGATTGCAATAAGTCAGCTACTGTAAATAACGACTGCTTTCCCATCCAACGACTATCAAACCTGATACAGTGCATGTAAACATTCACATGCATGCCACCATCAAACTAACACTGCAGTACTGTAAATATTGATATCAAATGACAAACGCCACAATTGTAATATAAATAAGTTATGTTAGACCGGCAACAGAACAGTGAATGCACTTTGTTTCGAACTATGGGTGAACCGACCAGAAGCTAGAAGGTGATGTTTTATTTGAAATGAATCATGAAGTTAAAAGCCTTTCTTTCAAACGAATATAGACATACATCAGAGATTTATAGTAGACCATGCAAACTAATTAAAAACTATGTAAAACCTAGGTAATCTTTTCGTAAAACAGTAGTGTAAATAGTTGTTTTGTTAGCAATCACATATAGCTATATTTGGTAACTACAATTTTTCAATTAATTTATGCTCCAAAAAATATTTCAGGCATTTGTTGTAAAAAATCAGAAAAAGTTAAAAGGTATTTATAAGAAGCAAGCAAGCTGAATTCAATAACAGAAACCCCACGAAGCTTCATGTATGCAATCAGAATATTTAAAAAAAACTTTTGAAATAAAAATCAAAACATTTTAGTCTGGCTTTTAGCGAAACATTTCATTTTATTAAGTTTGAAACAGTTTCAATGAACGATAAAGCCGTTGATCTCAAATGTATCTGCCTGTGCTTATATACTATCATACATAACCATGTGGCTCAATGAGTAAAGAGTAGTGACGAAAGTTTTATTCAATGTAATAAGGTTGCATGTTGTATAGATACTTAGTTTTCTAACATCCCAGAATGCATGTGACGTGAATGCATATTTTGAATCAAAGCATTCAACAACTGAGAAGTTATAACAACTATAAATCAGAATGATTGAAAAAAATATTGTTAGTTTTTAATCACTTTGAACTTAATTATATTGGAATCAAAACATTACAGTTGACAGTTGAGCAACATCTTCAGCTTATTATAGCAGCATTATATATATATATATATATATATATATATATATATATATATATATAATATATATATACACACCTATGTATGTGTGTATATTATACATGTACATAATGTATATGTACATCAACAATACATCAAGTGCTAACAATTTACAATTTCAAATAACCCTGTAATAACTTAAATTTAGGCATATGAAAAGAATTCGATCACACATGCTAGAAAGTTATAAGGAAGTGACTACTGAGAAGTTAATATGAAGCAATGAAACTACAATCTAATAAAGATAAAAGCAATTAAAGAATTTTTAAGGCCCAGTTGTTTTGGCATCCAACTGATGCTAAACAGAACATGTGATCATAAACTGACTGAAAATTATTTTCCATTCATTGAAAGTTATTTTTAATTCATTTAAGATAAAAAAATCAGACATCTACCTGCAGTTCATTCATTCATTCATTCATTCATTCATTCATTCATTCATTCATTCATTCATTCATTCATTCATTCATTCATTTATTCATTCATTTATTCATACATTCATTCAAAAAAAGAGTTACCACAAATTTATATAAAAAAAAGCTGTTGTAGTTAAAGACAAATCTACCTATCTTGTTTATTGATTACAATCTTAAAGTAAGATTTATTTTTCAATCCAGCTAGTAATTGTATGAATTAAAAAAAGTTTCGTTACCTTAGTCATGATGTCCCTTGGATGAAGAACCAACTGCTCATAGTACACCATCAGACATCTACCTGCAGTTTTTCATTAATTCATTAATTCATTAATTCATTCATTCATTCATATTAGACATTTTAAACTGCAATAGAGTGATAATTTAGCGTAATACATTATAAAAAAGCATTACTAACAAAAAAAAATAATTCAGAATAGACATAAAAGCAAAAAAAAAAGTAAAAAATATAATGACAACAATCTCCTCAAAAAATGCTAGTTGGTACACAAAGTTGAATTTAATTACCAGTGAGAAACATTACAAAATGAACATCTTCACCTACTAATAGATTACACTATGATTTAAAAAAATGTGAAGTTCAAATATCAACTGACACTCTGTACCACTGTGTAGTAAAAACATAATGACTGAAAGATTCCCAGGGTTCTAATGATTGATGGATGTTTGGTGCATGCAAGAAAGTTGTCTAACAACAACAAATATTTTATTGAAGCATTTGTTAAACAATGAAAAAAAAAAACAAACTTGGGCCAGCATTCATGCACTGTTTGTACATGTTGGTCATAATTGTGTTCCACTTCTGAAGAGAAGTTTCGTAGTTGTTCAAATCAAATCCTATGCAGTGTTTATTTCAATTCATATGTTTCGATAGATAGAAATTGAAAATTTTTCAAAAATTAAACAATCCAGTGAAAACAATATGAATGATTAAGCCTAATAAATCAAAACCAATTGATGATAAATTATGCAAGCCATTATAAAATGATATCATTTGCCATGGAATAATTCATTTGAAACAATTATGCTGCTGTGAAGTAATGCAGGGAACTAAAATCAAAGTCATTCAAACAGGACTAGCAGTACCACCTCTGGTTAGTTTCTGGCAATGTGTTACATATCACATATATAAGTAAAATTCACTATTAATTACATAGAACATACATTTAAAATTTAACATTTCAGTAACTTGTAGGAATACATATCAACAAACAACATTTTAAAAAATACAGCTTGAATATGATTTTAGACAATTTTTCATTTGAATTATCTAAAAACTAATTGTTTAAACCTGTGATTGTCACTTTCCTGTTGATGATTGAGTGGACAACAGCTCTCCCATCTCTGATCATTAGGATGTATTTGGCCTGAGGAAACATTATCTTCAGTTCATCAACATACTTCAACGTGAATGGATCCTTATTGCACAATCTTGGGGCAGGTTCTCCATGCTTCACAATAACTTCCAAAATAAATGCAGCAACTGCAGAATATAAAACTTCATCCGTTATGCCACCCTCTAACATCCGATCAATCTCTTTTTGACTCTTTGTCCACTGCCCTCTCAAAGCCAGCACTCTGGGAATAACCTATAATAAACCAGAAAACAAGCATTAGAGTTTAGAGTTAGTGATATCAATAGTTGAGCTCTTGAGCTGTTGCTAATTATACAACAACAACACACGTTTAGACGACATTTTCCCCGAGATCGGGGGTTGCCGTTCGGCTACCTATGATGAAACCATTGTCACTTCTGTCATCATAAGTAATTTATTTGGCTAATTTTTACGCAGGACACCCTTCCTTACGCAACCACAGTTATAAGCGGTGGGCCTAGCCTTTGATGATCCAACATCACTCACAAGGCAGTGAGGGTCAGTTTAATGTCATAACCAGGACAATTATAATAATTATACTCAATTAAAAATATGTCTTTTATTTTCACTAACTTCTTGCCAGAATGTTCAAAAATATTTAAAGTAAAAACTAACAGGTAATTAAACAAAATAAGAAATGTTTCAAAGATGTGAATGAAACATTAAATTTCAAAACTTGCCCTTGTTTCCTCTCCACATCTGATGTCAGAGTGCGCATCCAGCAGAGCTCTCATCAAAGTTGTACCACTTCTTGGCATTCCACCAACAAAAATTAAAGGCATTGATCGATCATAAGCAAGCATGCTAGCTTTGTTATCAGAAAGAAAGAAATTGAGGGATTCTTTGGAGATGTAAGAGTTAGTAAGATCGCTGGATTTCCATAAGCTTCCATACCTTCCTAGTGTGTAAAAAATCAAAGCACAAAGAACGTATACACATCCTTTCTTGATTAATTTTTTGGACATAACTCTAGTGATGAATAACAACTTACCACTGAGATAAAATTTCCTGTAATTTTTAAAAAACAAAGTTTAATAGTTTTTATTTCAAAGCAAAAAACTCTGCTTGATCAAATCCAATTAAATCAAATGGTGTGATCAGATAAGATAAACAGATAAATATTGAATTTTTTTACATTTAAGTGTGGATCAGTTATTTTGCTCGCCAGTTGGTAGGTTGAAGATAAATTTAAATAAAACTGAAATGTTATATTTACTTTATTTTACAAGTTTACACACTGTATTTATTATTTATAATTATATTATAAAATAAAAATAATAAAAAAAAGAAATTATAATTATAGTATAGTTAAACTAGATAACCACTAGATCATTAATAATATTAATTCTCTTAATTTAATATTGATTAATGTGGTATGATCAGGTCAATTAGGTTACTCGTTACACAACTTCTAAAAATTTAAATACAATATTTAAATCTCAAGTCAATTAATTACAGGATTACAAACAAAACAAGCAAACAAAATGTTTTTATTTATTTATTTTATTCCAGTAGTACAAAACTGCTGGAAATTGTTAAATTTAAATATTATATTATAAATTGTATTATTATCTAGGTCACAATTTAAATAAGTAACAATAATTAAAATTAAACTTTTGTAACGAGTTATTTAAATATTTTAAAAAATTAATTCAATCTCAAAAATACGATACGCGCTTTCAAGACAGTGCTAAGGCTGGTGGATATTTTTATTTGCAGTTAATGAACATAATATTGGGACCAACAGAGACTAGCGCAGGCTTCGTAAGCAAAAGATCCGTGAATATGGAAGGCATGACTGACCTTTTAAGGCTCTGTTAATGCTCTCTTCCATACACATTTATCAATTGAGAATATATATATATATATATATATATATACATATATATATATATTTTTACAATATTCTATAAATTCTACCAAATGTTTGGCGTTAATATGTTTGTAGTTCGTTTTTTCGATTAAATAGAATTTATAGAATATTGTAAAAATTATGGTCTATTACCAACATATATATATATATATATATATATATATATATATATATATTCAAATATATGTGTATTAACTATATAAACTATATAACTTTTGTATTGTATATTATATATATATATATATATATTAACTATTGTTATTAATATATTATTTATATTAACTTCCATAAATATCTATATTTGACATATATGTACTTTGAATAAATATTTGTAATCCTAATAATTTATTTGTTGAATAATTCAAACATGTTTAAATATATCTGTCATTAGGAAGTATATGATTTATGTATATCATTGTATATGTGTTTGGCAATATTATAGCTACACGTGGTTATTTTTTTTATTATTATTATTCTTTAAAAATCAGGATCTGACAGACGCAGAAACTGTAACAACATGCAAGGCAGTGAAACAAAATTAAACAAATAAGTGAGAAAATAAATACAAAAAGTGAGGAAGAGAAATGATATTATATGCAAATTAGACACATAACAACAAAACTAAACGTTAAAAACAATTATTTAATTAAAACAGTAAACACGGTAAACACAGCATAATAATACAAAAAAAAGCATAAAAAACATAAACAATAATGAATCGCTTGGTCTGACTCTATGTGTCTTATACTTAAACCTTCTAAATTTAAATTAATTTGTTTTAATAAATCCACACGCCCTATTACTATTCCTTCAATTATTTTGCCTGATTCTAAGATTCTTGATGTTTCTCAGAAGTTTTGCAGTCTATTCTAGCATGTCTCTTTCTTCTCAGATTTATAGTGTTGCTAGAAGTTCTTACTTTAATCTACGTAGAAAAAAAAACGTTTGTCTTTTCTTGACGATCCTACTCTTCTCCTTTTTGTTTTTTTTTCATAGTTTTATCCAGAATTGATTATTGTAACTCACTCTACTTTACTATGGTCTTCCTGATTCTACACTCTATCCTTTAAGTATAGCTTTTAACTCTGCTGCTTGTCTAGTTGCTCGTGTTCATTTCCTTTCTCATATATCTCCATATCTGGTTCTCTTGCACTGGCTACCTATAAAAAATAATTTTTCAAATTTGCACATTAATGTACATGTCTCAATCTAATTTATTTTCCAAGTACTTATCAGATAAATACTTATTGAACCTAAACACTTCGTTTTACGATCGTCTTCTTTTTAACTCGTGTTAAACACTCTTGCTGAATCTGCATTTGCTTTTTCTGGCCCTTTTCTCTGGAACTCTCTACCTCCTTTTCTGACTACTTCTCCATCACTTCTCCATCATTTACGAAATTCAGAACGGATTTCAGATCTGTTTGCAAAATTCACTGAGGAGAGCTGTTGAACATTGCAGAAAAGTGCTTTACAAACCAATTGATTGATTAAAGGTTAAAATACAGGGAATTATATGTAAGCGGTTCTGTGTATGTCAGAACTACATAATAAAGAAAACAATATATGATTTATTAATTTTTAGGTTTCAAACAGTAATATTAATTTTTTTCATGTTTTTTAGGCTAAATACTCATATTTGGGAAAATTTTTATGCCAAAATAATCAAAATCAAAGATTGCCAATTATCGGCCGCATACAGACAATCCATAAACGGACCGTCATTATTTTGCCTTATACACCAACCAGTCGTTAAGACCGAACACATGCTGCCAACTTGCCTGAACCATAACATCAATAAATCAACGCAACGTTCGAAAAATGTCGAGCTATAGTGTGTGGTAAGTAATACATAATGTTAGCTATTCGGTCGATTCAGTAAGATACGATATTAATATATCAAAAACGTCGGTATTTACATTAACAAATAATACATTTTCATGCTCAAGAGATTGATTACTACATAAATCTAATAGAAAACTACCATCTTGATTTACTATATCAGCGCAACATTCCAAAAAATAACGAACAAAAGTGCAAGTTCAGTAATACATAATGACTATTCGTCGATTTAAGACACATTATATCAAAAACGTCGGTATTTCCCATAGATATTATATATATCCATGGTATTTCCATTAGCAAATTCAACATTTTCATGCTCATGAAATTGGGTACCACATGATTCTATTAAAAACTGCCAGCTTAATTTACTACATCAGCGTCACATTCCAAAAATCGAACCGTAGTGCGAGATCAGCAAAACATAAAAACTATTCAGTGGATTCAAGACAATTAATATCTAAAATGCCGTTATTTTTATTAACAAATTTTATATTGTCACGCTTATGAGATACTACATGACTACATGAATCTATTAAAAAACACCAGCTTAATTCACTATATCCACGCCACAACAAATCGAGCTGATCACTGTCCGATCGACTGTTTGCTAATAACGTCTATTTTGTTAGATTTTTTAACTGACTTTTTATAAAAATGCTGCTCACCATTGGCGGATCTAAACAAATTTGACGGAAAGAGGGGCCAAAATTGTGAAAAATATTTGACGACTAGGGCGGAATTTTCCGAAAAAGCCGATGACCGAGGGAAGAATTTTAAACATAAACATCATGAAAACTTTATTTGATATGACTATTAAAGTTTAGGTAAGTCTTAAATAATAATTAAATATTGAATGTCATCTATTGCTATTGTTACTTTTTAATTTATATATGATTGCCACCCCACCAGATAATAATTGATTCAATAATGATATAATAATAATAATGTCATATGAGCGCCCTATGCATAGCGTCAGAGGCGCCGGGATAAACAAACGTTAGCACGGCCACCTAAGGCCTGTTCAAACAGATGCTGCTTCAATCGCTTCTTAAACGCTTATGATTAAACGAAAAAGTAACCGACGAAATAAATTCAAGATGAGACTAAACATTAAATGACCAGCTGCGGTCAATATTCGCAATAACTAGGAGATAAACCAATTATTGTGTTCCGTAGAAAACATAACGAACGAATGAAGCAATTCCGTGGACGCATACATATCGAGCGTTATCAGTCGAACACCAATTTTCGCTTGAAAAACGAACCAAACACGTCAGTGCGATTTTTTGTAATGAAAACCTTTAAAGAGCTGTATTTCAAATTAATAATAAAACAAACGTTTTGCATAAAGCAATGAAGAAATCATCAACTTTTTAAAATATTTTCAGAAATAATTTCAAAATCACGCAGAGCCTTTGAATCAGCTATTAAATCTGCATTTGAAGAATTAGCATAAAAAGCCGAAAAATCAACATAAGGAGCAAGTTTTTCAGGTTTTCTTAAAATCAAGTTGCTGTCTTCAGTTGACTTAAGCATGTCATCTACAGATTTCATAGTTTCTGATCGGGAAACATTCTTTTTTGAAAATAATTCCGGTAGCCGAAAATCTAGCTGCAAAGAATTTAATTGAGAGAGTTCAGATTCGTTATTACCAACATCTATAGTCAACGGAGGTAAAGCATTTATATTACGATATGTTGCTTTTTTAACCGTGTTGGACAAATACGGATTTTTGAAATTGTGAATAATTATCGAGTATGAACTTTCATGTGAAAACATACAAAACGTTTTATTTTCATAAGAGCTGATTTCCTCTATCAAACGTTGCGCAGCGTTGTTCATGTTAGGATGAATTTGAATTTGTTGCTGAATTTTCGTAAATATTGCGTCGTTGATTTTTTCAGGAGAGCAGCCACTATCCGCTATCTTGAATATGATGTTGTTTGAAACAAGAACTAACGTGTGACTAGAATCATTAATTTGAACTGGTTCAATAACGTCTGGTTCGCAGATCCACGGTGATGAAAGTAGTTTGCTTGAATAAACATTGAAATATTAAATTAATAAATAACTACAAATTTTTGAATGAAGGCAGGTTTGCAATATGTAAGCATTGGAAGTTGTAATTGTAATTTATTATAAATAAAAAAATTATTTACACTAAAAAAGCTTTCAGATTATGTGCGATCGATCGATCAATCAATCAATCAATCAATCAATCAATCAATCAATCAATCAATCAATCAATCAATCAATCAATCAATCAATCAATCAATCAATCAATCAATCAATCAATCAATCAATCAATCAATCAATCAATCAATCAATCAATCAATCAATCAATCAATCAATCAATCAATCAATCAATCAATCAATCAATCAATCAATCAATCAATCAATCAATCAATCAATCAATCAATCAATCAATCAATCAATCAATCAATCAATCAATCAATCAATCAATCAATCAATCAATCAATCAATCAATCAATCAATCAATCAATCAATCAATCAATCAATCAATCAATCAATGTAATTTGTATAACGCCAATTAACAGCCATTTTCAAACTCTATTAAACCTAAAATGTATGCATTGTCATTGGTAAAATAAGTCATGACTTAATTTATAAATAATCAATGGAATTCAAACATTACTTTATTCTTTTTTGTGAAGATATGGGGAAAACATTAATTTGAATAAAATGAAAGAATTTTTTAAAAGATTATGCACTTAGTTTCAAACTAATCATATTGTTTAAAAACAAACTGTACCTTAATAACGGATAGTTCTGGAAGTGCTTTTTTAAATTCAGTCCTCCAATGCATCTAGTGAATGGATGTCCACATAATTCAGAAGTTCCTAGTTTGGAACAATCAAGACCAAGTTCTGTCAATCTTTGAATTTCCTTACTGTTCAGCATGTTATGCTCCGTGGTCAGTTGGTTCACATGGTACAACTTGTCATCACCCATCACCAGCAGGGCTCTGCTACAGCCTTTGTATAAGATGAAAATTTTATTCCATGAAAACCAGTGAATAAATGAAAATAAAAATGTTTATAACATACCAGTATAAGCCACATGTAGCTTGTTTTTGTGGTTCAAGGCAATTAACACACTTGCACATTCAAGTTCATTTTCACTTTGCTGAAAAATATGCTAATTTATTACAGAAAAAAATTTTGAATGAAAATTACCTAAGTGTCTTATTAATAAATAAATAAATGAATGAACAGTTTTGGAAACACTTACACTAATAAAATTTGATGAACGGTTCAAGACATCATCTTCAATAGATAAAAAGGTCTGCATGTAGTTAAATATAATAATAAGAGTTCAAAAATATAAAATCAATAAATAAAAAAATTAATAATAATTTAATAATAAATAATAATTTAGCATTAATAATAGCAATTTAATGATCAAACCTTTATAAGTATAGAATTGATTTTGCTATCAGCATTATGAGCATCCTCAATAAAATTTAGGAACTTGACTGCAAAATGTTTGGCAACATACTTTGATACTTTGTTACCATTATAACCAATGCACAATCCATACAGCAAGAGATCATCTGTTAGCCTATTGAAGTAATTGTACGTTTAAACTAAAAAATTAAAAAATGCATTTATTTTGTTTTGTTACTAACCTAATCAATTATCAATTAAAAATATTATTATAAAAAAGTAACTTTATCTAGGTTTAGCTCAGGCTTTAATTATTAGGTTGCTACTTTACTTACTTACTTAAACCTACCATACCATAATTACAATACATACAAACAGACAAATAAAAAAAATAAATAAAAAGTAAAAAATACCTTGTACAAAAGCATTCTTCATTGAAGCTTTGGGGATCCTCAACATCACAGTTGAATTTTGATTTGTAACCCAAACCGATGCAATTATATTGCATCATATTCAGTTAACTAAATGATTAATTAAATAATATTACCTTTTATTATGACATGATTCTAATTTTTTTATTCATCACAAAAAATTTACAAACACGATGGAAGTTAGTTGAGCAATCAAATTGATGAACATGGCCCAAGACCATGGAATTTTAGGCTAGTTCCATATATATAGAAAATATATTTTACATGGCTAGTTCATTCTCCTCTTCTTCCTATATTGTATGTATACTATGTACATTTAAAAAGTATTTTTTGTACTATTAATTTTGCTTAAAAAACATAGCATAATCAAGTGTTGAAAAGAAATATTTGGATAGAAAATTTTACAAAAAAGTTGCAAACACATTCTTTTTTTTCACGCAGTTCTGTTTTAAATTGTAAATATAATAAATATTGTAAAAAATGGCTCATCCTGGTGGACGTATTAAAGATAAAAAAGATGAGACGATTCTCGATAAAATCGGAACTTTGGGGAAAAAGAAGAAAAAAGAAGGTTTTTGCTTTCTATTTTAGTGAAGTTTTTATTGAAGTTTTGTGACTTTAGTGCTCACATTCGCCATCTATCTGTCTCTGTCTGTTTATTCAGTGTTTTGTTCATTCAAATTTTAAAATTTAAATTTAATTAAAAATGAAAATGTAAGTTGAATTATATATAATATTAATTAATTGATTACTTATGGGTTAATGAATTGTTATTCATAAATGATAAGAGTTATAATTTATAATTAATTAATTTAATTATTAGCACAAGATGTCACTGAAGAAGGAAGAAATGCCATAGAACTGCCAGCCAGTCCTTTAGGAGCAGACCTTGGACCAGAACACTGTTTATTGGGTTTGTAGTATTTTGTATTTTAACAAATTTACAGTCTTGCTATTGTAAAAAAAAGTTTCAATGTATTTGTAATTAAATGGCTATACAAATTTTTGAATATTTTTAAAGTTTATTTGTTTTAATTAATCAAAAGAACTATTTTAGTCTTTTCAATTGATGTGCAGAGGAAAATGAGGAAAGATCCATAATTGATCCCATCTCTAGACAAGATCCAAAAGTTAAAGAATTGATCAAGGTATTTAATTTAGTATATTTAGATTTTTCTTTAAGTTAAAGTTACAAATTTAGTTGGGTTTTTTCCTTTTGATCAGTTGCTGATTGATTGGATAAATGATGAGTTGGCAGTTTATAGAATTTTGGTGAAAGACTTGGAGGAAGATTTATTTGATGGACAAATTCTTCAAAAGTTGATTGGTAAGTTTATTCTTAATGCATTTTTATTTTAATTTTTAATTATATAACTTTGCACTTTGATTTTAGTGTTTTTTTTCTGTATCTCAAGTTTATCATAGTTTTTTCTGTCTTTAGAGAAATTAGCAAACATAAAAGTTGAAGTGCCCGAAGTAACACAGTCTGAAATAGGACAGAAACAGAAATTGAAGGACGTCCTCAATACAATAAATCAGGTGCTCAATATTAGCTGGTCTGACCACAGATGGAGTGTGGATTGTTAGAATTCATTTCTTACAATTGGTTCAGTTCATTTTTTTTATTAATCTTATATAAACACATTGACAGTTTATTCCTTGTATAAATTATTGACTTTGTAGTACTATATGACATTCTTTTCAGTTTGATTCATTTGTTATTGTTCACCAAATCCAGCTATACATTCCAAAAATTTGTTATCCATGTTACATCTGCTGGTTGAACTCGTGAGGGCCTTCAAACCTCCAATAAGATTGCCTGATAATGTCGTCATCAACATGATCGTTGTTCAGGTTGGATGAATGCTTTATTTGTGTAAAATGGATTTTTTAACTTTTTTTGGGAAATTCCTTTTTGGAATTTCCAAATGCACACTCTTTTCAACTATCTCAAATTTTTTAAATGAATTCACAAATACGATTCAGTGAGATATTTCACATGCTGATTTATGTTTTTTTTTACGAACAGAAAAAGGATAATGCACTTTTGACTAGCAGAAGACCCGTTCAGATAACTAGAGTTAATGAGTTAGAGAACTTTATTTGGCACTTTGATCTTGTGATAATTTAGTTTTGATAAAGACTCTAATTAGTATTCATATTAATTTACCATGTAATCATATAATCAACCGCTGAGTATTGTTTCTGAAATAATTTTGTTTAGAATAAATTAAATTTAAATAGATGTAATAATTTTAATCAAATTAATTATTTTAACAACTTTCAATACATTAATCTACATTGAATATTTAGGTTATTTGATTTTATTTTTCAATCTAAAAAAATATTTGTATGATCAATGTTTCATATATTAATTTCAGAGAAACTGGAGGAAGACAAGGTTTTTACACACTTACAAATTCTCACAGTTTCAATTTGAGAATTATTATATTATTTCAAACACAAATATAGGTTGAAAATATGAAAATATAAGGGGATCATATGCTTATTCTCTCTCTCTCTCTCTCTCTCTCTCTCTCTCTCTCTCTCTCTCTCTCTCTCTCTCTTCATTTCTTCATTTTACTGTTTTTGGTATCAAAAGTAGTATAAGTCTAATAATGTTTACCAATGTCTCCAAAACTAAAGAGCTACAACAAATTTTAAAATGTAATATTCAATTTTACTCACAAAATGATTTTAATATTTTCCTAAGAACGAGATGCTTTTGACACATTGTTTGACCATGCCCCTGATAAACTAAACTTTGTCAAAAGAGTTTGTAGCTGTTTTCATCTTTATGTAGAAGTTTAATTCAAAAATTTGTTTCTTTTTATAAATAGTTATATGAAAAACACATATAAACGTCGAGGAAACATAATTACTATTATAATTACAAACATAATTATCATTATTATTATTATTTGGAAATAATATTTCCCAATCAGTCCCTGGTAGATTTTGCAAATAAGCACTTGAGTAAGATTAACCTGGAAGTCACAGATATCGACAACCAGGTTTAAATTTTTGTTTGGCTGTTGCTTTTTTTTCAATAAATAAATAAACTATTCAGTTAAATTTCCTGTAACTTCATGTTTTTGTTGGGAATGCAAACATTGTTTGTCTTATCATGATTTTTTGTAACAAATTGGCATAATCTTTACATTTCAAGACTTTTTGTAAACATGTTGTTTTTTGGTATGTTGATCATTAAAGCGGTTATAATTTAGAATGAAATCACCCATAAAAGCGTGTCCTCTTAATTTTCAGTTTCACGACGGCGTGTACCTGGTGCTGCTGATGGGGTTGCTGGAAGGATTTTTTACCCCTCTTTACAATTTCCATCTCACTCCCCAAACGTTTGAAAATAAGGTACAATAATTTTTTTTTTTAATTCTGATATCAGCGCTGTTGTGCAGTTCAGCCTTTCCATTGTTTTAAATTTCCACTTCTAGTGTTTGTCTAGCTGATCAGAATGTAAGTTTAGTAGTAGTCATTCGTTTGTTGGGCCTCCTATAAGGAAGGGTTTTACAGAGAAAATATTATAAGAAATTTCTGGATGTTTAATGAAAGTTCACAGTCTATTCAATTTTACCGTAAATATTGTTTATAATTTATAAATTGTGAAAGCTGATGATAGTAAGATACTTTCAATTCCCGTTTTGATTAAGTCTTTATATGAATTAATTCCGTCGTTTTTGATAGTTCCAACCAAAAATACACATGTATGTATATCTTCAAAATACAATGCATATCATTTTCTTTAGGTTCAAAACGTCAATTTCGCTTTCGAATTGATGGTAGATTGTGGTTTGGACAAGCCAAAGGCCAGACCAGAAGGTTTTTACAATTTTCATTTATCTTTCTGTTCTATTATTTCTAAAAATTATTTAAAAACTTTTCTTATACGATCAAATTATTTCAAAAAATCCATCTATTCTCATCAAATTATATCATAAAACTTGTGGCACAATTCACTTCAGAAAATTTCAGTTACTATGAAATTATTTATTAAAAAAAAATATATTTCGCATGTTTCTACATTTTTTTTTTAAGTTTTCATATTTTCATCCAACCATCTTAGTTCAAAATAATCTAGCATCTAGACCCATCAACATTTACTCCATGAGTTGGATGATTTAATTATATATACATATGCCTTGTAAATATAGTTTTTTCAAAATTAATTCAGTAAATTAGCAAATTATTTCATAAAATTTTAACAGATATAGTAAACTTGGATGCGAAATCGACTTTGAGAGTTCTGTACAATTTGTTCACGAAGTACAAAAATGTTGCATAACATTGTTTTTACCAGTCATTTTAGTATTTTTATTATTTATTTTCTAACTTGTTGGTTTTTCAAAAAGAATATTAGACTTTTAGCATTTGTTCTTAATTTATTAACCATAAATTTCACGTTATGTCTCTGTTCATTTATTGGCTTTTATATGTGAGTATGTTACCGCATTAGTTTTTTAATACCGTAAACGCTGATCATGTGCTTTCTATACGTCCATTCATTTAATGTGCTTATATTTTTACTTTAATTCCCCTTTTATGACATAATTTTAATGTTATTAATAACTTCGTTAATGTTGATTCGTACTTGATTCGAACTTGACTATTTTAAATGAAGGAAAGTAGTTTCTCAATAAGCTTATTTACATTGTGAAGGAACATAAAACACTGTTGCACAGTTTATTAAAAAGTTGAACAAAAGAGTGAACTTTTCACATGAATCGTTTTATTAAACATGTGCTGAAATAGTTTGGATGCCATGCCAGGCTTGCATTCCACGTTCGTTTATAATTGGAATACCCCTAGCTTCAGCGTATGTATGATTAAATGCGCGATCTTCTGGTTGAATGAAACACGTACACAAACCAACAATATATAAGTACGTAAAATGTTTGTGCACGATTGCATCTACAAGTAGAATGTATCTACTGGTGTGCTATATACATATATATGTGTGTGGTGTGCGTATGTACAACATGTGTGTGTATATTTTAAATAAGAAACAGGATATGTGCGCATAATACAATGTACAAATGTAAGCCATACACGTTGTATGAAGATGCACGCACATGTTAGTCATACACAACTTACAAACCTCACTTGTATACATGCACAACTTTAAAGCAATGTTTTGAAAAATTTAGAGCAGTAAAGCAGCATCGGCAGCTAAGGATAGAAGTTTTTTTTCTGTTGCATTTGCTTATGTATGAAATTTTATAGAGTTGCGAAAGTTTTTAATTAAACCAAAATATTTATGTTGATGTCTAAATTCTAAAATTAAAATTGTTTAACTCGAAAAAATATTACGGTTCATTTCGATTTATTATTTTTCCGTTGTTTTTCAAATTTAAAATATACTTTTAAAATGCCTTTGCCGAGTAAAAGGTTCACAAGAACATCTGCTATCAAACCTAAGGAGATAGAGAAACCACCGCCATCTTCGTCATCATCGTCTTCCTCCTCGTCATCGGAAGATGAAAAAGAAGAAACTCAACAAGGTAAAATAAAAAATCTAACTGGATTTTTTGCTGAGCAGACTGATGACGTAAAAAATATAAAAAAGAAAAAATTTGAGTTGGTTCCATCGGATGCTCCAGAACCATCTATTTTAGAAAATGAACCAGCTGAAAGATTGGAAGGTATTATAAGAGCCACAGACCCTGCTGAATGGCAAAAGCCAATAGAGGTAGAAAAAGGTGCAATAAAAAATCTTGCTCACATGTTTCAAAAAATCACAACAGAACAGGCGCAACAGAAAAAACCATTTAAATTAGAACTGGATGAAAATGCATGCCAAAATTCTGAAGAAATGGTTTTAGAGAACGAGCCGGTTGAACAGCTAGAAGGAGTTGTTAGATCGGCTGATCCTGCTGAATGGCAGAAACCAATTGATGTTGAAAGAGGTGCCACTAAGAATCTTGCACACATGTTTCAAAATATTAGTCATTCGGAACCTCCCATTTCGAAAAAACCCTTCAAATTAGATGTTGATGTTAATGCTCAACCAATTATTCTGGAAAGCGAACCTGTAGTTTTAGAAGGCGTGGTGAGGTAAAATAATTTATGTTCAAATATTTTAATAATAGTTATTTATTTATTATACAAATATTTATAACTAATGTTTATCCGTAACTTGATTCAACAGAAGCGTAGATAAAACAGAAGATATAATTGGCAAGAAAGGAAGAATAAAAAACTTGGCTGATAGATTTGTAAACCCTAATACCAACGCCAGTGACGATGAAACAAACGATAAAGCTGCAAAACCGTCAGAAAGCAACAGATCACGAACAATATCTCAAAAGTGGAAGCAACAAGTGAGTCAAAATGACGGCTCTCAAGAACGTAGACCTAGATCGAAAATAGAATTGGATGCAGCAGCTGAATATGGAGTTTATGAAAACGAACCAGAAGTTCGGAGCGACGTCGTTAAAGCCAGTGAAGATCAACCAGACGTCATCTTTGTCCAGCATACTCGAAACTTGCGTAAAATGTGGTGCCAATTCGAAAAAGACGAAATGGCTAAGGAGGTTAACTCGAAAAATATAGAGAGTATAGTGAAAGCTAAGAAGAAGGAACCTTCGCCTGAACCTCCTCCAGTGCCAGAAGTTCCGCCGCCAGTTGAAGAAACTAAACCTAAAAAAACCTGGGGTTCAAGGAATGTTAAAAAAGAGGTAGAAAAAACAGATGCTTCCAAGACGCAAGTCCAACCAGCAGAACCAACTTCCTTTCAAAAACCAGCCTTGCGTTCGATAGCGAAGAAAAAATTTTAATATCTCAATATTTTTCAGTCATAGTCGTTTTATATTTTTGTTGAAATTTTTGTGTTCCTTATTAAATTTATTGAAATGAATTACTGTGGTGCGTCAGCATTGTTGTGAATGAAAATAAAATTTGATATTCCTTTTCTTGTGATTATATATTTTAAAATTTGTATACGTATAATACAATATTTTTGTTCTCATCACTTTGTTGGAAAACGTTTATAGAAAGCGTCGGGCTTAACTAATTGAAAATATAAGAAGACTCACCCTTCAACATTTAACTGCTGGACTATAGATGTATTTGTAGTTCAGAGCGTTTAAAAGTCTGATGGTGTGTAGAGTGTACATTTCATAGAGAGTAATCAATTACGAAAACGCCACTCGCTCGGATAAACCAGCCAAGAGCTCTCAGCTTCTTTAATAACACCCTATTTATAGATAAAAAGCGTGAAGGAACTTCAAGAAAAAAATCACACATACGTTTCTGTTTTTTTTAATCACAAGACCATCTTTATTCACTGTTTTCGTCCTTACATAAACATGTTAAGAATGATATGAGACACATACATATACAATTCAGTTTTTTAAATATTTAACTTTCGAAATGTTGATATTTTACCAGATATTTTCTTTATTTTAATCAAAGATTTCAAAATTAGATCTTACAAAATTTTTGCACGAATAAATAACAAGCAAATAAATCTATTCAAAGATTCTCTTTATAAGAAAAACCGAGCCCTAAACGCATCAATAGATGCGTTATTTTTGTTGTACACTCCGTTCAACATTTTGTTTAAGTGAAGATTTAAAACGACGAATTTGTGTCCATAAACAGACTTGAATAATTTTACATTTGTCTCACTTTTTGAATCCTGTGCTGTGAGAAGTGAAATTCTAATAATCACATAAATAAAAGTTTGTCGGGGGAGGCGTAAATATTTATTTACATTGTTTTGTTGTAGTGGGGAATATGTGCTTAGTGAGAAGCCGCAGTGGCTCGATGATTATTGTGTAGGTAAACACAAAAGAATTGGCAACAGAGAAATCATCAATGTTAGATGGCCGGTGTTATAGTATTGTGATAAGATGTAAAATGTGAATTTGGTATTTTGATTTGGATTGTTGTTATATTGTTCTTTGACATTCTGTAGTGATTCTAAATTTTTTGGTTGGGACAGATAAAAAGTCTCAAAGTTTTGAAGGCTAGTTAGTTGTTGAGTTATTAGAAGTAGTCTGCATCGGATCTGGTGCGGATGCTGGGTGGTGGTTGATATGTTTTTACGACATCATAGTTGGACAGTTCAGGTAATTAAACTGAGCTCTTGAAAATCATCTCTGGAAAGTGACGTCAACGAAGTGCAGACAGTAGTTTACTACCTACATTAGAGTTCGAAAATAAATACACAAATTCAATAAAATTTATTAAGCATTATTCTAAACGTTAAAATTCCCTATGATTGCAAAGTTTTCAAGAGTGACATCTTCGGGAATGTATTTGATCAAACTAATCGATTTGGCAGTCTTTTGCCTTTTCAAATAATCTATCCGTCCAATATCAATGATGTTTTTACACATGAAACCAATCCTCTCCCTTTTCTCAGGTAGCAAACCCCCATACCTTTAAAAAATGTTTTACTAAAATCAATAAATAAAAAATTAATAACGTGCTACATTTATCATTTGTTCGCTTAAAACTCAAAGAAAAACAGATGAAATAGCAACCTCGGATGATTGTATGCATCTTCTATTACCTTGGCGTCCTGCTCACCATGCTCACCGGCTGAAAATTGAAAAAATAATTTCATATAGAGTAATAACCTACACAAATATTGAATGAAGTGAGAATAAAAAGTGCGACTAAGAAGAATCCAGCACTAACTTAAAACATGCTTCGTGCCACAAGTAGCCCAAGCAGACATTTTGACAAGCATTTGAAAGTGGTTGTGATCGAGTCGGTGCTCAGCAAACCATTCTTTGCCAACGTATGAGTTCCAGTCGCATCTGTGGTGGCAACAGAGGGCCAGCACGATACCACTTAGCTTTCTGTTGTCAGAAATAAAAGGCAGAAGTCAGTTTGTAAAAAGTGAATGCATTTGAAACACTGAAAATCCAATATCAATTAATACTTTATAAATATCTCCATCAGTGAGGTGATGAAATAAATTAAACGTTTTACTTTTTTAAAGATATTTAATAAATAATTAATGTGTTTAAGATAGTGCAATAAGAAAATTCATTTGTTCAAGCGCACAGCTTGAATGAAAATATCTAACATGGAAGCAACTGAATTGACCAGACATCTCAGCATGAAATCTGTTGCTCTACCACAGAGATGCTTTCCAATGCCAACAATGTTGTGAGTCGATCCTTGTAGTTGAGGCACCTTTCCTAACGGTAATTATGGTCAAGCAAATCAATTTAACATCTGCAAAACATTTAAAACCAACTTTGAACATCGCATTTAAACAAATTAAGTGCACTCCAGCCAACATCAAACAAAAAAATAGCATAAAATGTTAGCCCTTTACCCAATGCCAAGTCTTCAATATCAATTTTGATCCTTTCAAAGGTAGGTCCTTGATCAGCTCCTTGGTGGTAGCTGTCCTTCTGATGTTGTTGTCACGTCATATTAAATTGTTTAATTATTGCTGTTTATTCAAGTACGACATAGTTTCGAAAATTATGAAAAAAAATTTAAAAGGTGAAATAATAAGGACGTCTAGCCTTGTATCTGACACTGCTCCTGTCCAGCAAAATGTATCTACAATCATCACTTTTGTTCGACAGTTGAACCCAATGAGACAATCCACCTGGTAACAAATTTAATCACCACTTATATAACTCCCATTCACAGAAATGCGTCTTAAGCCCGTGTAGGCGATTATTAACTCATTTGCTACTTTAAAGCAATGCTAATGCCTTCCAGCATGCATAGAGCTTTCTACAAGTTGAATTTTTTTTAAAAAGTACATAAGTTTATTTTATTTGCATGGTTGGTTACGTTCGTAACGTTTGTTATCGTTTAAAATTATATTGCACGCTTTGATTATGAGAAAAGTTGCAATGTTTTTTCAACTTCAAGGCTGATATAAATTAAACGCTATATTTCTAAAGCATAAATTGCCTACTCACATACTTATGATGATTTCTATTTCTGGCCATTGAAATGTTTGGAAAAAGTAATAAACCCAACACAAAACGTTAAAGAAGAAGACTCGAGGAATATTTTATTTGATATATGTGCTCAGTCTTCAGTGTCGCCTTAAGCTCTATCATTCGAATATTTTTAATTAAACATTTATAAAAGTGTTAAAAGCAACCTTTCCCAGCGCCAAATTCAATGTAAGTCGTGTGTGCACCAAGCAGATTGTTGTCATTCATGTGTCCGACCAACGAAGACTGTGTTTTATATAATTTTAATACACCAATGTTGTTGAATTTTTGTCCATTGTTAATAAATACCTCTTAACAGATACATGAATTGAACGCTTTATGAAGTGTTGCAGAATTTAAATTTAATTTATGAGTGAGCAGACCTACAATGAAAGTTATATTATATCCTAAACCATGGAACTGGCTTTGAGAGACGGCTTTCAAAAGTATTTAATTTTCAACAGTGAATGACACTCACTTGAGGTGAGATGAGCAGAAAGGTGAATCAAAGAGCAAACAGTCGAAATTAAATGAGTCAACATGAAATCAATTAAATCTATAACACAATCAATTTTCTATCTATGGTGGTTATGAAGATACAAAGGATGATATCTTTTGCATAATATTAAATTATCCACAAAAATTATTACAAAAAAATAAAAAATAATAAAAATAATAAAACTTTTTGTAAGTTCAGTCAACAAGAACAAACCAATTGTTTGAGGTGCTTCAGGGCATTGTTGCCATTGTTTGGATCATTGAGTGATTCACTGAAAACTTCATGACATTTCTCACTGTATTCTATCATCTGCTTGTTTTCTGGTGAATCATCATCATTGTTTGGTTTGAAAATTTAAAAAAAAAATACAAAAAATTCGTTACTTAAAATGAAACAGTAAGTTAATTGGCCAGTATGAAGAAAGCATTGTACAATAGGATTGTTTAAAAAAGAACAATACAATAAGGATTGTTAGAAAATGAACAGTACCATCGAAAAGTTGGGTGACCCTTGATATGAGAAGATTCAAATCATCTACATTCATATCTTTGATGGAAGTCTGCAGTTGAAGGTCATTCATTTAAAATTTGTATTTCATTTCAACAATGTTGTTAACTAAACAAATGAAAATGTTGACTCTTTAAATGCACCAAAATGGTACCGACCTTCAAATCATTCACAATTTCATCATCACCTATATTGATTCCTTTTTCATAGAAAAGCTGGAAATAAAAAAATAATATTTTTTAGTTTTAAACAATATAGATTTACATACAAATGTTAATTTAATGTTTAAAATATGTATAAAATGATAAATATTAATTTAATTGATTCTACAATTTAAAATAAAATTCACATTTACTAGAAAAATTATTTTTGCCCAAAAATAATATCATTGAAGATCAAACTGAAAAATATGAAAAAATATTTCAACCATGTTTCAAATGTTTAAAATATTTTATAGCATTACTCTAACATGTTCACTTTAATCATTATTCATTATCACCTTAAGATTTTATAAGATTTTTTCTATTAAGATTCAAAATTAGATTTAATTATAACAATAAATAAATAAAATTGTATAAATATTATTAAATTAATATGCTATCAAATAATCAAAATTTCACATTTCAAGATTTGACTTGATCACGAATTAATTATTAACAGCTTTATAGAAAAAACAGACGTATCATTGTGGAAATGCAAATAATGAAACTGACAGGCCTGAGCGATGGTCGACTATTGCATTTTTTCTTGTGAGATTCAAGTTGATCTTCGTAACACGAACTGCGAGGAAATTTAAAATTTATAAAGAAGTAATTAGGCAACATTCTATGAAATTCGGTTTGATAGTTTCAGTAATTTTAATTATGCAAATAAAAATAATTAAGATCTACATTTCACACACACACGCACTCACGCACGCGCATACACACAAACATATAATGGGCAATGTATATTACATGATTTGATATTCTATATAGGATATAAACAAGGAAACAAACAAACATAGACGTTGTAAGATATATAACAAGAAATATTAAGCAAAGTAACATGAGCCATAGCTAACTGATTTGAATCATAAGGGCATGGAATCCTGACTCTGTTAAATTGAATCTGAAATAAATTTTATATGTAACTCTCAGACTATTGATTGATCTTGGTGAATGAAAATTTTGTTTGAGCCATGCATGGATTACAACATATTATGGTTAAAGGGTGGAATATAAATTCTCTAATAATAATAATAATGACACAGGAATACTATAACAGACTGCAAAAAAACTATCATTTAGTAATTAGTTAGTACCATTCACTTAAAAAACTAATCTGCATTTTTGGTATGATGTACTTATGTCTTATTTTTATTTATATATGAAATCATGAAACAACTTACTTACATTCAAATGGACCGCATGCTCCACACAATATTGCAAATTATTTTTTGGCATTGCTTTGCAAAATCTATTTTTTTTTTTAAGCCAAAACTGGCACGTTGCAGTTGTTGTGGTGTCATCTTTATTGCTGTTGTTGTTATTGTTAATGTTATTAACAACTGGAAAGTTCTGCGAATTTTCCAAAGTATTCTGGAAGTCGGAAACTTTTTTATCAACGTGCGATGGACAAAAATCTGAATCTACTGAAGGAACTGTTAAACAAAATCTGTTCTTTTTCACAAGCCAGAAGGAGCAGAATTTCTTGCTGGAGCTGCTTTCAGGTGCGTGAGATCTTTTGGAGCCGATCTTAACATCCATAACAAATTTTTAAAATTATAATTTTTTTGGCATAAAACAATTTTCCTAATAACTTTACAACTCGATCAAAACCTTTGATGAAAATCCAAAAAAGTCGAACCCACGAGAAGGCAAATATTTAGGTCGTACGTGGCGCTAGCCACACATCAGTAGCAACAAGTTCTTTAAAAGTAAAAGTTTTTATCATTTAAATGGCAAATTTTTTCGATCCGTTGATTGGGATAGAGAATTTTTTTAACGTGTTTTTTTTTGTGGCTGACGCTAGTTCATTCATTTATTCGTTCGTTCGTTCGTTCATTCATTTAGGTATCTATCTACTCATTCACTCATCCATCCATTCAAATACAACCATGTATCTATTTTTTCCTAAATTAGTCACAATCTCATCCACCGACAAAATCAACCTAATAGCACGGATGTAATATATATTATATATATAATATATACATGCGTAGCAGTCACATATATATATATCCAAGGTAGCAGTAAAATAAAATTTCACACTGCGATCAACAACCAATCGGTAAAATGGTATTCGAATGTTTCGGTACAACTGGCACAATTCACAGTTTTAATTCTAAATAAATTCTATATAGCAGATTTTGGTTTTTATTTCAAATCAGTAAATCACGCGAATAGTTGCTTCAATTTAAATTAAAATTACTGTCTATGATTATGAAACGTATTATACTTGAGAAATTTATTTGTAATCTGGATTTAAGCAAAAAATTTGTATGTTTTTGTATGTAAGCTTATATGTATGTATGTATATATTTATATATGTATGCATTTATTTATGTATTTGTATGTTTGTGTGTGTGTTGTGCTGTACCGTTGTTTGTATGTTTGTGTTTGTTACATATGCATGTGCATATGTACAGATGCTAATATAACCTATGTTTGAGAGTATTTGCGCTAAAAAATGCAACCAAGAAAAAGATAGAGAATCCCATTTTTAAGAAAACAAACAAGTGGAGAAGAAGAAGCCCTTATTTAAACGGCATTTAGCAAGAATCCCCCTCGCCACATCAAGGCAGCCGTTCATGAATGGGATAAGAATAAAAAGATAAAAGATCCCCATCAGAAAGCTTAGCGTTGTATGCACTTCAAATTGCTTAGTTATATAAACAATCCTATCTACCTACTTATTAAATTATCTAACTTATGATATCTTAGAGTGTATAAGCGCCGTGTATATGTTAGCGCGTTACAGATTTACAAATAATAACATCGGTAAAATAAACGAATAAGTCTCGAAATAATATACAACAATATAAAAAACGAATACGCCTAGAAATAAAAAATAACTTGACTAAAATAAGATATAAAGAAATTTAACTCAACTACAACGAAAAGTATATCGAAGATAGAAAATTGCATTTTTAAGAAAAAACAAGTGAAGAAGAAGCACTTGTTTGATTGACATTTAGTGAGAAGCCCCCTCGCTACGTCAAGGCAGCCGTTCACGAGGGAGATAATAATAAAACGATAGTCTAGAAATAATAAGTAACGAATAAGCATACATACAAAAAACAAACATGATACATACATGATACAAACACGAACATGCCGTTTATAATTTTTTTTATTTTAATTGGTGCTATTATAATTCATTTGACTTAATAGAAAATGAACCCGAAGATATACAGAAATCTAAATTTTGATCAAGTTTGCTTTTGTATAGGAAGTTAGCTCAGACGGGAAGTGCTGTTTTGTGGAGTTGTAATTGGATGGTGACCGAGTTATGGTTAGAATACTTTCTGTCAGAAACTCAAAAACTGTTGCGAATGTTTGATTGTATCAAAGTTTCCATGTTTGATCGATATGTAGGAAACTTGCGCTCGTCAAAACCACCCAATAAAAACAAACACAAAATAATTGTTTTATAAAACCTGCATATTAAACAAATTTAGGATTTTTTACATTTTTTCTTTGTGTGATTCAGTTTACAATTGTCATTTCCTAATATATCATCAGAACTATCATCACTGTCACTTTTTTCTTGGTCATGTGATCTTTTCTGACAAGTATGGTTTTTATTAGCTTTAGAGCTATCAATTTGTTTGTTACTGTCATCATCATTGTTCACATTTGTGTCAGTAAATTTACACGATTTTTTACTACCATCATCAATGTCATCACCATCACTACTACAACTATTTCCGTCATCACTTTCACCATCATCATCGTCATCATCGCTATCAGTTTCTTCATCTTTAATTTCATTTTTATTAGGATCACTTTTGCCAGAACTTTCTTTTATATCTTCAACCAGATCAGCAAAAAAATTTTCTCTCTTTGAAATTTCAGATTTTGTTGAGAATTTGTTTTTACCTTTTGTATTGAATTGTCGAACGTTTTTCTTTGCCTTTCCATTTGAATTTACATTGGAAACATCCCAAAACCTGACGTGTTGATCATGTGAGCAACTTGCCAGCCAGGTCCTACAGTGGGACAATGACAAACTTTCAACAGGCGAACCTCCATGATCTCCGATAATGTCTATGATTCGGTTTGGGAATACACTGACAGCTCTAGAAAAATAAATTTACATTTCACAAATTAATCATTCCAACTGTAATTTTTAAGACTATGTCTCGTCAAATTACTTTCATAATTTTGCTAAAAAAATGTTAAAATCTTTAAACATGATTTTTATTAACCATGTTTAACAATAAATTTAGAATTGACAAAATTAAATCACAGTGAATAACAAAAGTAGGCAAAACAAATTCCAACACAAACAGTAAAACTATTTTTCAAATGCAATTTGCTCTGCATACATATAAACAATAAACAATGCTTTATTTACTTCCAAAAAATTAAGAACATAAACGTGAGAAGAAGAAAAAAACAGAACGAGACAAGTAGAAAAGTGGAAGTGCCTTCAAAATACCTGATGGCGTCAGAAGCAGCGGTGCAGATGAGCTGAGGAGTCAGTGGAACAATCTTCTCAATGGACATGGGGTGGCCAGGGAAGCGATCACTTATGTTGCCCCATTCATTCCAATTGAAAAAATTTAACACACCATCCTCACTGCCACAAACCAGTTTTTCGCCATTCTGAATTTCATAACAATCAATTAATTTTTGTTCAAAAAAATCACTAAACATAAATTGTTGTCCTCAATAGAGTTTAATAATGAAAATTGATAATAAAAATTTTGAAAACAACTGATTTGAAAGAAATATGACTATATAACCTATTAATTTTATTTGAAAATCAGAAAAAAATAAAGTATTACTTTGACAATGGCAAGTGATTGCAAACCAGAATTCATCAGTTCTGATTGCATTTTTAATTTGTGCTTGCGAATGTCGTGAACTGATAATGTACCATCACCACTGAAAAATAAATACAAAAAGTTATGAATGTTTGAAAAATATCTTAGAAAATAAATAATATAAACATTTACACATGAACGTGAAAAAATTAATAATTTTAGGACAATTTAAAAAAAAAACATTAAAAAATGTCACTGCAACTTACCTGGTGCAAAGTAATAAATTATTTTTCTCATCTGTTATCATGTCAGTGATGCAGTCATCGTGTTCTGACATTTCCATTATCGACTTGTGGTGCCTCGTGTCCCATAACTTAACATTAATTGCAGGCAAATTTAAATAAACTAACAAGTTTATTCATACTTTGTTGTTCATTTAAATAATTTGCTATCATATAATTTCAAGATTAAAAAGAAAATATGTTAACCTTTATTTTTCCATTATCATCACCAGTAGCAACAATGTGTCTGTTGACAACTAGGGCACTGTAAATAGCACACCTGTTGAATTTTCGTTAATCACATCTTTTAGATACATTTTAAAAAGATGATATATAAAATAAATATCAACTTTTCCATTTCTATATAATGTAATATTTTTTCCATCTATTCATCTTTATAGAACATTAAGCAGCATATTATTAGTCAAACAGAGAATAAATGTTGGCATACTAACTCGTGCGCCTTTTTAAATCTGTGCACCAGAGATCCAACTTTCAGATCAATTAACGCGAATGACTTATCAGCTGATGCGGACATGATATGCGAGCCATCCTCATAGTAAGACACTGCTCGACATGATTTCTTGTGGTGTTTGAAACTCATAAGTTCGTGGAAATCACTTTCTGTTGAATACGAACCCCTGTTAGATAAATATTATTTAGAGATCAATTCCAAGTACCATATTTTAACATTTAATCTATAAATTTTATAGTTAAATGTGGGAGTATCATAAAATGTTTTAAGAACGATTGATTTATAAGATACTAAAAGTAAAAAATTAAAATAACTAAACACCAAAGCAAAAAAAATAAAGTGATTTACAATTTGAGGTTTCCTTCAATGGTGCCATATGATAGAATATCTTTGGATGGGTGGAATGAAACACAAGTGACTTCCCCATCAACTGATTTAATGGCTTTTAACTGTAAATTTTATTTTTGTTTCATAGTTGATAAATTTTAATAATTAAAATTTAATTAAACAGTAAATAATAAATATTTTGACATAATAGAAATCAGAAATTGTTGAAAAACTAAGTTTTTTATTCTTAACATAAATTGAAATAAATCTGTAACAAGTGAAAAGGATAAAAGTAGATGAAAACGAATAATAATAATATAATATAACCAATTAAAATTAAATTATCATTCTCACTCTGACTGACTTTCTGATTCATCAATTATGTTCATTTTTCATTTAATTAAAAATGACATTCATTAAATAAAAATTGAGAAAATAATTAAATAAGACTACCGTAACATTGTTGGTTGCCATTAAAACTGCTATCGATTAAGCGATACCGGACGAAAATAAAATAAATGCCTAACTACACGCGCGGCATGCAAAAAATATTGTTCTTAGATGGACAATTGTTTATTTAGAACTTAGTTTAACTTTTTTTACAAAGAAAAATGTTTTTTAGTAAATAATTCGAATAAAACTTTATAATTATTAAACTTACTACATTAAAAATTAATTTAAAAAAATTTATTTAAAAGTATTATTTAAAAAAATTAATTTTATATCATGTTTTTATGTGTTTTCTTATATATAGCTTTTTCATTTAAAAAAAGACATCAGGAAAAAAAATTTGGGGCTTTCCAGATTTTTACCATCTTCCTATGTTTGACTGGAGAGGAGAATAGAAAGGGTCGGTCGGTCGAAGTATTTATTCATTGAAGGCTTTAATTTTTTATTTCGAGATAATTAGTTATTTGTATTGATTCATTTCATTTGTCTCGATGAATCTGAATAATTAATGACCAAATTATAAAATAAAAATAAATAACTCACACAAACTCGTGAACAGATTGACAACTAAACTACACTACACTACTACACCTACAGGTAGCTATGTTAGTAAAATAAAATGAGTAATGAAAGTTGTGTGTTTCGACAATTTTTCACTTAAAATTCTCTGCCTAGTCTCAGTGAGAGGCATAAAAATTATTCAGGATTCTTTTTTCCTGCACGATTATATTATATATTTTCAATAAATTGTTCATCTTACAAGTAAGTGTAAGATGAATAATTTTTTTCTAAACTTTATAAAATAATCATTTATTAATATTTTCTCTCTGGAAATACAACTGTAATAGTATACAAATATTTGAACTTAGATGGCTGTTAGTTTCCGGGAACTGTTGATAAAGTTATCACAGAAAATCAGTGATAAAGAATTAGATGAAATGAAATTTTGTTTATCTGACTATGGCGTAGGTAAACGAGATAGAGAACGAGTAAAAAAATGTCTTGAGTTGTGGACATTAATGGAAGAACGGGCTCTTCTCAGTGAATCAAATGTTTCCATGCTAGAAAAAATTTTAGATTGCATTAATCGGCAGGATTTAAAAGAAATGCTGAAAAATCACAAGCAGCCAAACAATGTTCCTATAACTAGAGGTAAATTATTTGCTTTATATTCTTTGTGACTTTGTTTTTGCCTATTGGCTTTGATTAAACATTGTTGTTATATTATTTTCTCAAATAATTATCTTGGTTAATAATTTTTGTAGTTGATTGGTTATGGATCAAATATTTATTAGAATTTCCCTATATTACTAAGATAAAAATATGGCATCATGTCACATACTACAAAGCATTTCATGAAGCCTGTACATTTAAATGATGTATCACTTTTAAAATACTATGTGGATGATAGATGACATTTGTAAAATCAAGTATGACAAAACAAAAAATAGAACCAATATGCATATTTTCGTTAGTCCGTGATTGTTGCATGTTCTCCATATTTATTTTTTTCCATTCGTTGACTTCATCTGTTATTCACTTACACCTGTGGAAACTTCCGATGCATCTTCTCTACCATATAACGCCATTAGCACACATTGAAATTTTGAATAATGTCATCAGTTTCTTCAACCTTCTGTTTTTGCTTGTGCACTACTTATGAAAAGGACGAATTCAGAAAGGTACAACAATTAAGTTTATTCTGCTAATTATTTGTCAAAATCATTACTGACGGTAATAGGACAAAACAAAGAGAAGTAGTGATATTATTAAATTTTAATAGAGATTCAAGTTATCTTTTTAAAATTTATGTTTTATTTTTAATATTTTCATATTCAGTAACGTCATATGTGCCAGCTCATTGTAGTAATAAACTTCACTCAATGGCAACGAGGGCAGTTGTTATTAATGATGTCTTGTACTACATGGCAAATAACTTTCACTTATTGGAAAATGAAAATTTCATCAACTACATATCAGAATTTTACACAAACGAAGATATTGATGAAGCTTTGAATAATTTAAAGTATGATATGGATTTCAGCAGAATAAAAAAATGTGAAAAATTTGAATTGCATGGATCGAGAAAAGAAAAAATATTGATTTGCATATCAATTTTGAAAGAACCAAGGTCACAAAAGTTCATGAATAATTGGCCTATATTTGTCAGCAGCAATTTGGCAAAAATTCCCAATACTAATATAGAAAATTTTTTAGAAATAAATCCGGATTACTTAAAAGAAACTACAAACATGTTGCACATAGTTAGAACTTTAGAGGAACTTAAACGAAACTGCTTGGATAAAGATGAAATAATTAATAAACTGCTCAATCAAAACAAAATTTTGCAAGATAGATATATGAACGACTTTTCAAATTTGATGTCTCCTGGGAAAAAGATCCTGCAAATTACTTACGAAAAAAATGGTAACTCAAATTTTTCACTTCCAGATGATGAATCAATTATCGATACAGGCAGCTACATTGGTAAATCAGAAAACATCTGGTCTAATTCACAGAAGAGTTCGGCAGTTGACGCTTTCGTGCAAAATAAAAAATATAAAATTCGATCAGATAATTCGGCTGAATTATTTAATAGCATTAATGAATTAAAATCTAAATTTATTGTTTCAAAACCTATAAAAAAGGTAATTGATAATAAAGCAAATGAAACTTACAAACGATATACAGAAAAGCCTCTCGGGAAACCAGCGTTTTTTATAGGTGAATTGAAAAAATGCCACAGAAACAACTTCTTTAAAGCGGGTAAAAATTACTGCTCTCCGTTTAATTTTCCAATGATTAAACAAACCGTGGTTAAGAATGACACCGCAAACAAGGTTGACAATAATTTAGCAATGTTCCGAGGGTACTTTAAATGTTTTGATGTTCGAAAAATGAAGGGTCCCAATTTTATGCTCAAACATCGAACGATCTTCGAAAAATGCTATTGAAACAATAACTTTTCAAATGATTGAAATTTCAACAAATAAACAATGTTATTCATTGAAAGCTATTATTTGTACGAAGCACATTGAAGATATATTTAAGACAAATAGTATGAAGACGTATATAAATTAAATAACTTATATCATTGAGTTATTTTCAGTGATAACTTGTATTTCAATTTACTACATCATCGGATATCGGATCATATTTTGAATTAAAAAGAATTATTTGATGATGATATTATATTTACTTCTTCATTTATCAATTGAGAATTAATGAACTTGGTGAAAGAATAGTAATTATATTTATTGGCGGGTCTGATTTTGTTGGTAAAAACCGGATAGGGATGTCTGATGTTCGGTTTGTGTGTATATAGCAAACAATATCGTGGTTATATTATTTAATTTTGGATTTTAACATAAATTTCCAAGCATCATATTTTTTAGATGCAATAATTTGAATTCTCGAGTGAGTTTAGCCAAATCAAAAGATCATTAAAAACATTCTTCACTCTTCCTCAAATGCTGAATTTTGTGGAGCCCAACTGTGTGATTTTCCATATTACTTGCTGATTATTTATTCGAAGATTAAAAAACTATATAGATGAAAAAATCATTTTATCACAAATGGACGTTTAAACAAATTGAATGAATGTCTTAATATGGACTGGTCAAATATTCAGGACTACAAACCATAGAACTGAATTGTAACGCTGACTGGGAAGCGTTTGCGCAATTATATAATCACCTACAATTATTATTGTCCATATCTTATTAGGAAGCTCCTAGTTTGTGAAAAATGATTGAATGTGTGACACCAATGCTGCTCTCGCTTCCAGTAAAATTAATGGGAAGAATATATTAGGTTTATTTCAGTGTAAAATTCCTTGGCTCAAATTCGACATTTCACTTGTGTTTTTGTACACCGTGTAGTGATACCTGTGAAAAAAATTTGACAAAATCATGTTTATTTAAAAAATATTAAAATTAAACTTGTTCAAGTATTGTCCAATTTTCCCAAGAAAAATTTTAAAAAATTATTATGCGAAAAGGCATTAATAATTGCAAATCTTAAATAATGTGTAACGAAAAGACCTAAAACTGGCTTGAATTCAAAGTATTTAGCCAAAAAACTATATTACGGTAATTTGACATAAAATATAAATGGCCATCAAAAACCAGATATCGTCATGGTTACAAGTGCCCTGTCCTGCTTTGCAGTGACTGGATTCGATTGTAAAAGACATTTCCGCCTATTTTATTTGCAATGTGTTTGATGCGTAGTTTCACCAGTGTTGTTGATACTTCTGAATAATATATGAGAGAATGACCTTTGACAATAGCAAAATAATAGGCTATTTACAACCAAAGGCCACATTATTTGTGAACCCCAAAAAGCAATAAATGATTGTTTCATTATTACGAATCATAACGATCATTATTAACACCTAGTAATATTAATAGAAAAACGCTAGCTTGCATACCCATTTTCCTGACTTTTGACTTCTAACAAAGAAATCATAGCATAATAAAAAAATTCATATCAGAATCATCGTGCCGCCGATATCAGGTTTTTATAACAACACTATTATTTTCCCAATTCTTCGAGTCCAATTTGTCAAATTCGTCGAGTCCGTGTACGAGCCCAAGTAAATATTCAGGTTGTATTGAAAATATACTTTTAATACATGTACGTTGTGCATACATGTATGTATATTCGGATGTTAACATTATATATGGTTCTTGTACTGTACATATATATTAGAGATTTACAGAATTTGGTCGAAGGAAGAATAGCTGAATAGTTGATTCACTAATCACCTGAAGTTGATAGCCCAATAACACAAAACTCAAAATTTTATAATGGAAAACAAGCTATTGAAAAAAAACAGTAGGCAGTTCATGACTATCCAGCAACGCTTCTGTTTGTATAGTTTGTTTCCCTACAGGAAAAGGTTTGTTGCTTTAAAGCCATTTTAATCAATGGTACACTTTAGATATAAAACAACTAGCTAAAAGAAGAATGCAGGGAGTGTTAAAAAAATGCATTTTCATCTAATAAAAACTGAATCGAAAATTTATTATTTTGTAAATTAGTCCGAACCAGATGAACCAACCCAACCATCACAACAGATGAAATCTGTTGAATGTCAAGAGGAACCTTTTAAGTTACAGAATATCTAATCTATATATAATGGTATTAGTTTATAATTTAAAATTTGCAAATATGATTAATAATTATTAAATATGACCAGAAAAATAAGAAAAAAAAAAAATCTGTAAAACTTTGTAAAACCGGTTGGATACGGATTTGACTGGATTTACATACACATAAAAATTTGTAAAACCGGTTGGATACGGATTTGACCGGATTTACATACACATAAAAATTTGGCCGGAATAGGATTGTTCATCAGTTGCAAATATTCTCTTGGATTTCAAAATATCATTTCAGCCTCACAATGTAAACCATTCTGATGAATTAGCAAGACAGTTGATTTGTTGCTTATTTGATTTTGATTTGTACTAGCGACTATGATTATTGAAGCAACTCCACCGCGATTACAACACGATCCATGCAGTCTATGCATCTCATATCGAAACATAACCTGGTTGCATATTCACGGAAAAACCAAATAAGATTTATATTCACGACCAATAGATGAAGATGTTTTCATATTTTGACAATTTTTTCCTTGAACAAATTAATTTGGTTAAAAAAGGATTTCCTGGGTCAATTTCTTATAAATTTCAAATCATCGAAACGTAACAACATTATTGTGTGTTAACATCAAAAACATCAAACAAAAGTACAAAATCGAATTTCAAAATCTAAAAATAGTTTCTCTTAAAGTATGAAATGAAATGCAAACTTTTACAAGATCAAAATTTGAAATTTATCTAAAAACAGTTAGATAAATACGTCGGTCTCCCGCACAAAGGCAACCTTAGTTTAGTGGCTTATATATAAGATGTTCTAATAATTCTTAAAATTGATTGCAATAGGATAAACCATTTTGTTGGCTCAACAATTTTATTATTTAAATTTTTTTGTCCCATTGATTTGATATTTTCTGCATTTATTTAAACTTTATTTTTGATAAATTATTTTAAAAAAATATTTTTTTTTAGATTATTCCAATGAATTTCGCATTATCATCGATTCATTGCCATTGAGAAAATGGAAAACATTAATGAGAAATCTGCACTTCAGTGATTCGGAGATTGATGAAGTTGTTGCAAACAATCCCAACAATGTTAAAGAACAAATAACAATTCTGCTGAATGAGTGGTCCAGAAGACCCAACAGCCAAAAGTCTGACCTCGTTAAAGCGCTTGAGTTAAGTGAATGCAGGAGAACTGCAGATAGCGTTGAAAATTTCCATTTTGCATGATTTTTGTTGTAATCATTTTAAATTTACATACCTTATCTGAGGCCGTTAAAAGCGATAAAAATGATAAGCGATGGCGAGAGATATTGGATATGGTTCAGGCGACAACTGCACTTAAAAATATTGTCGATTGAAAACAATATTTATACTACAATATAAACAATTACATTGAATCTTGAAGTACCATGCCTTCATGTGGTTATCAGTAATTGAACAAACTATTTTCCAAAGCTGGTGATATGAAATATTCAAGTAACTAGTGTGAAAAATATGCGATAAATTTGGCGCATTGCCTCTTCTGGAGCAAGACGAAAACATTAGAACGTAATTTTCAGAAACATTGACCAAAAATTATTCACTTATTTTCAAATTTTTAGAGAAATCTATTTTGTACAGAATTAGTTTTTTTTAACACGGTTGCTAATTTCATGTTTTTTTGTGAACGTTTTTCGTTTCGTCTGCTTATTAGAATTCACCATAATCGATTTAGCATCGACAACATGGAGAGATTCTGAATCAAATTTTTGCATAAAAGTTATAAAATTGAAAAATAAAAAGTTATCGTGATTGCTTGATGACCGAAGTGCCTGGTGTTGCGGTGCAGTAACCGGATTCAAATGCCGAGATCTCCGTAATATTAATACTAAGCGTAAGCAGTGAGCGTTATTTTATACGTACGCGGGAGCGTGCATTATGTATCAAAGGTTGATAAATACCATTCATATCAATCGCAGTGATTAATTTGTTGTGGTTGACTGGACTGTTTGTCGTTAATTGAGGTCACACCAAGAAGATATCAACCCAACCATCGGCAGCTGAAACATTTTTTTAACATCTGTTGCTTTACATCAAAATTTCAATCAAGCATTGATATAACCAGCATTTTAAATTATAGTTCAATTTCTATCAATTTTATCTTTTATTGAAACAATATTCACATTAATCAAGTATATATATATATATATATATATATATATATATATATATATATATATATATACATTAGTATATTGGAAAATTCAAACGACATGTAAAATCGTAAAAATTCTTGCTATAAAAAAGTTTCCAACATAAAAAAGAGATGCTGATATTAATAACATTCACACAGTTAAGTAATAAATTAATTACAAAAAAGTGCAATCTACGACAAACTTCGATATTCTTAACAATTTGAAAAACGAAAAATTTACCAGTATGTTCAAGTTAAAAAAGAGTAAATAATTTTGTTCAAAATTGAAAATGTGAAAATTATAATTGGATGTAACGGTAAGGTAAAATGACGACAAAAATATAGAACGAGTGTTTCTTCGCAAAGTGTATTTGATTTATATTATTTATTGATAATTAAATACCACGAACAATAAGGCAGTGCTCGGTTGAAATAGTTAGCACTTGTGGCTCATTGTCACCCTCCTAACTCGCTCGGATAGACGTTCGCTCCAGCCGACGACGAGACTGCTTTTGTCTAGAATGATGCCGCCCCTGGAACTGCTCGAGTCCCTCGCGACGACCAGATAGTTTCGAGACACCCTCAACTTGGGACATTTGCAGTTCAAATCCTTCACGGAGACCCACACCGTCTCTGGTCCTCGCCTCAGACGGTCACGTGACACTTTGAATACGTTGTATATTTGAACGGTGAACTTCGCCCAATCTCCGATTATTTCCCTTGACGTCACACGAGTATGGATAGCTAAAATCAAATTTATATTTTCGATAAATTGAACGTTATGAACAGTCGACCACCTGATAAACTATTACCAAAGAAGTCAATGAATTTAAGGGTTAGGTGCGATATCTTAAGCAACACATGCCTGATTTATTTTACACTAATTTAATCTCTCCGTATTATCTCAAACAATGTTATATAGATGCGCCATGTGTGTAAGCCGTGTTGTTTGAGAGTTCGAGTCATCATTCGTCAGTTTCCTTTCTCAATCTACTTTATTACGATGAGGTGAAATAATTATTAATTGTGATTTGAAAAATTTAAAAAGAGGAAAGAACACAGGCTATAATTTGATTTGCTAATGATAATAATAAAAATTGGAATAAAATTCAATAAAGTTGGTATGTACTTACCGAAATCTTTTTTGCAAAACTGTTTCGTGGTGAACTTTTTCAATCGTTTGTTGCAGTTTCCACAGCGGTTCATATCTGGTGAGAGTGCATGCATTCAATAAATGTTATCTTACGTTGGATTGACTTAGTGTTCACCTCATCGTTAACACCTACTCGAGGAAGACACCATGCAAAAAATTGTAAGGCATATATAATAATATTCAATGGTGAATAAAATATAATCACTTTTATATTGGGGATGCTTAAAACGTGAAATAATTATTGCCAATGAGGTTGTTAACGCTTATTATTATAGTTATTGTTATTATTATATGAAATGGTTATTGTTAAGTTATTAAATGGTGTATATAATTGTTGTTAAATAGGTTGTTACTAATATTGTTTGTTCCTGCTTCTACCAACTTAGCAATAAAATGCCTATAACAATTACTTATGTTACATAAATAGATGAGTTTCCGTCCAACCGACCTAACAACAATAAATATTTAAAACGCGGAACACATGGCAAACAGACGTTTGAACATATCATCACCATCGTTATCATCACCACTCTCATCATCATTACTTTTATCGTATCTATCATTATCATCATCAAGAAGAATGAATTTCGTTTGATGTTTGATTAAGAATATGTAAGGAAAGTGAAATTGCGTGTGTGCAAATCTGTTGCACGGGCACACACACATACACACACACATATATATATATATAAACATATGTGTTGGAAGGGTACACATAATTCATACATATATATTATATATATATATATACACACACAATTCTTTTTTATTTACATTCTTCAGACTGTGTGAATGCATTTCGAATCATAACTTCTGATTGATTCACACTAGCATTGGCGACGAATGAACAGAATTCATCCTCGACCATTCTTTTTAGTTTTTTTTATTAACAAAACATGACACTTATTTCGAAAAAATGCAGAAAAAAAATCTGAACAGACTTTGCTTAAATGGGATAAAATTTGAAAACTTCGTGAAAAAATAGTTTTATCATTTATTCATTCTACTTTCATTAAATCTCTCCTATACATAACCTATGCAATGTTGGATAATTGACAAAGATAAACAAACCGTTACATTATAAGGGATGTAATTTTATTATCGCTATCGTTGTTTGGACCTACGAATCAATCAATAAATCAAATAATCAATTTTTAAAGCGCTATTTCCGCAATGTTCAACAGCGCTCTTTATTAAATTTTGCAAACAGATGGGTCTTGAGATCCTATGAATTTTGTAAGTGATGTAAGTAAGTAGTCAGAGAAAAAGGTAGGTAGAGAGTTCCAGAGAAAAGGGCTAGAATAAGCAAATGCTGATTTAGCAAAAGAGTGTTTAACACGAGTTAAGAAGAAATGAGAACAAGAAGACGATCGTAAACCGGAGTATTTATGTTCAATCAATAAATATACCTGACAAGTATTTAGTGGTATTTAGGTTCAATAAATATATCTGATAAGTACTTAGGAAATAATTTAGATTGAGACTTATACATAAATTTGCAAATTAAAAAATTTTACTTAAAGGGTGGAGTGTAGAGTCAGAAAGACCATAGTAGAGCGAGTTACATAAGACTAAAGATGTAACAAGAGGGAGAAGAGTAGGATCGTCTAGAAGAGGCAGCACTTTTTAATATAATGGGAAAAGAACTTTAGCAGACCTGAAGAAGCCGTCTAGTTTTTATTTCGTGTTATAAAATTAAAGCATTTTTAAAACAATAATGTTATTAAAATTTATTGAGCTTTTGGTTTCTTGTAAATGTTTTGAAAACTTGATGATCTTATTGAAAATTTTCAAATCTTTTGACGACGCACAACGGTTATGATAAAGTAGTAAAGCCTGTAGTAAAGCCTATTTACCCTTCTTAAAATCTGAAAATATTATGGTATGCGCAAAAACAAGATATCTATCTTTAAAAAAACTCCAAAAATAATCGTTGTTTGAATGTAAATATTTTATAAACTAAGCAACGCCAATGAACGATAATCAGCCAACACCGTAATGTAAGTTGTTGCAAGGTCTTCATTGCAAAAAATGGACAATATTAATGCTCTATTGCAATATGAATGCTTTATCTAAGCGATTATAATTAGCATCATACAACGTCACAAACATCAACACAACAACATTAACACATACATAAACATAAAATATGCTTAAACACGAAAGAACAAGATGTTGATAACGTCATCAGCAAACATTGCAATAACGTTTACCAGTTTAAACACAAACAACCAAAACAAATTTTGTTTTTGGTAGAAATTGCAACAGCGTCTATAAGAACGTAACTGATGCAACAACACTAACAACATTACAAACAACAACAACAGTTACAACAACCACAACAACATCAGTTGCAACAACCAAAACATCAACAGAAACAATAACAACACTTCGTTTGATTGTTGTTTGCCAAGAATGAGTTTTTATGATTGATTTCAGTCAGCTGGTTACTATAACAACACGTGTTATATTTTTATACACACAGACATACGTACTGTATATCATATAAATGTTACGTTGGCATCTGTATATGCACAAACACAAGACCATGTTGTACCAACAATATCTAAGTGAAGTGTGCCGAAGAATGTTTGTTAACAAATTGGCAAATTAGTTTGATCTGGCAGAATTATCACTTTTGACGCTTTGTTACACGATAATAATTATCTCAATTGATCAATTCTTTTAACCGTTAGTGTTGTGTAAATATTGACTGCATTGTTTTTTAATTATCGTTTCCATGTCCTAAACTTTGTTAAAATCATCAGCATCAGCAGCTTCATTATTTTTTGATTTCCATTATCACCATCTTCATCACCACCATCATTTCATTGAAACGTTCGTGCCGCAACACGGTGTCATAGACATTCAACTGAAACATTTTCTACCTCATTTATTCGAGCACCTCAAACACAGAATGAATCAAAAAAGAAATATTGGTATAATGTGACAAAACAAATAATTTTCACGCAAACTGCACGATACAAATTGAAGAGAAATGTAAAAATAGAAAGATGACGATAGTTGTGAAGTTTTGAACTTAGGAAAAAGGAGTATATTTACAGACAGACAGACAGACAGATAGATAAATAAATGGACAGATGAATTGAACGAAAGTGGGAGAAGAATAAAAAGAGAGTAAAAACGAAAAAGGAAATAATAAAAAAACGATCAATAGAGAGAACACTAAAATAAAGAGTAAGAGAGCGATCAAAAAAAAAAAAACAATACACAAACGGAGCTAGTGATACAAAGAATTTCCTCAATAAAACATCTCATTCCGTGAACCTGCGTCGTCATTGTCACCATCACGTCTTCTCGTCGATCTTCTCGAATCTTGAAATCTTGCTATTTCTGAGAAGTATTAAAATGAATGATCATTCAATCGTTCAATTTATTTCTGGATGATATATCCAAAATATGATTGTATAGCAATTACACGTCGCACACAATGATTCTTAGAAGCACACACACACCACACACGCACACATTTAAACACACATGCGGGTGTGAATGCATACAACACAACAAAACGCGGCATAAAACAACACACCACAACAAAATACGACACAACCACAACACGAATTAAGATCACATACTTATGCACGGAGCAATAGGAGACTTGCTCTGCTGGAATCCCTTTCCACATCGATCGCACTTCAATCCAATGACGCCCTTCTTGCACTGGCACTGACCTGTTGTCTGGTTGCAGGATTGACCCAAAGCTCCTATAGAGTGGCACTCGCACGCTGGTTTCAAGATAATTAATTAATTAATTAATTAAAATTAGTCGACTAATTATTGTTTTTGCATATAAGATGAAAAATAAAGTTGAAGTAACGAAAGTAGTGATCAAATTTTTCATCAAGATTGAACTTTGAACTGTTAATTCAACTCTTTTGACTGTAAATTTGTATTTCCATCCAAGTTTAAAAATATTGTTTGTGTATGCAGCGGGTTGTCCATAGGATAGAAAGGGGAGGGGGAAAGTCAGATGAGTACTACAACATCCCAGACCACCAATCATGATTGCCAGCATCATCAATCCCGTAATCATCACCGATTTCATAATCGCCTATTTCACCATCACCATTTCAACATCACCATTTCAACATCACCATTTCACCACCACAATTTTACAATCACCATTTCACCATCATCTTTTTCTTCCCATCCCATTGATGTCACCGACACCCAGAGCCATAAATTCGCCAAAAACATGAAACAACTCGTTTTCGTATAACACGCTCGTTCTCTACTTCATGCATGTGTTTGTGTGTGTTTGTTTGTGTGTGCGTGTGTGTTTCGCTGCATTGTGATCATGTTTTATGAGCACCTGAATACAAGAAAACACACATCAACTCGTAAAAAGATCAAACAACCAATTACTCAAACGTTAAAAAACGAGAAGAAAAACATAAAAAAATCATAATTTATGTTAATAATATCAACTACGGCGAAAGAAATAGAAAATGGCGAATGTTCCACAAAAATGTTCCGTTAAATCATAATAACTACAAAAATCTAATTGCTCAAAAAATTAAAAATGTGACAAAAATTAAACTTTCCTATATATTATGTTTATTTCAATCAATCATTACTTTACTTACTCATTTATTTTTTATTCATTCGTTCCTTCACTCGTTCCTTCACTCGCTCCTTCATTCATCCATTCATTTATCCATCCATCCATCCATTTATCCATCCATCCATCCATCCATCCATTCTTTCATTTATTCATTCATTCAAAACCAATCACTCAAATATAAAAATAAACTGAATTTTAAAATTATTTACAATGTTTTCTAAAAAAATGGTTGCAATAACATTATTAAAAATATAACAAAAATGCCACATGAAATTTGTACTACTTCTCCTCTCAGTATTTCTGTAAGTAAATCCAAGCTGAACACAACTGCGTACATGCATACATCATCAACAACAACAATGAACGCTGAACAACAACAATTAATCAAATGAACAACGCGCCAGTGAAGCACTTGTCAAATGAAAAGAATATAAAAGCGAATTACTCCGTCATTTTGCGTTCACAAACTCATTCTAAATTGAGTCTCTCCTTTCTTTCTTTCTCTCTCTCTCTCTCTCTCTTTTTCTCTCTCTCTCATACATGCATACATACATGCATACATACATACATACATGTTAAAACCAAAACATGATGAGTGATACATACATATATACATACATATATACATACATACATGTTAAAACCAAAACATGATGAGTGATACATACATATATACATACATATATACATACATACATACATACATACATACATACATACATACATACATACATACATACATACATACATACATACATACATACATACATACATACATATATACATACATATATACATACATACATACATATATACATACATACATACATACATACATACATACATACATACATACATACATATATACATACATATATACATACATACATACATACATACATACATACATACATACATACATACATACATACATACATACATACATATATACATACATATATACATACATACATACACACATACATACATACATGCATAGATGGTAGAAGTATGTAAAATTTCTACATATGAACACAAATGTATGTGTTTATTCATTCATTTATAAATTATGTTACACATTTTGCACATTTGTCAAAATGTGAATGAAGTATTGATAAATTAGCAAAAAAAAATTGAAGCTAGACTAATTTCTGTCTGACAAATTTGTGTAAGAAGTATATAAAATGCAACTGAGCAGCAGTGAGTAATAACTCTAATGCTCTCCTATCAGACAAAATTGCTCTGCAGTGTCAAATAAAAAGTCGCTCGCATTTGTTGTGGGATGTTAAGTTGCTGTTATTTGTGGTGCTGTGCTGCTGTATGTGTGTAACTTCTGATAATTACAAAATCAAATGTGTTTTGTTGCTTTTTAAATGTGAATTAAATATTTGTCGTCGAGAGAATGTGTTTCGTGTAAGTTTTCTAACACTTGAGATATTGTGCATGGTGTTTTGTGGTAATGCTGGTCTTTGTTCTTTTATGAGTTGCATGATGCTTAATGTAATTTATTTTTTGCAATTACGTCCTTGTGCGTGTGATTGTATTTGTCTGTTTGACGTGTATTGCAGGCGTTTGTATGTTGTTGTATATGTGCGTCTGTTTGTGTGCCTTTGTGTTTGTGTGTCTATCTGTGTGTCGTTCATATGCGTTGAGCCAGTTGTTTGAATTGCACACTGCGTGATCAACTGTTGAAAAATCTTCCTGGCAAATAACTCCCATGGGAAAGTTGAACATTTGAATGTTTGATTTTCTCAAACTATTGAATGCCTCAGTTATTTGCTGAACAAGTTTGAAACAACAAGTTAGCAACTATGCAAATTAACTCATTTCTAAATATACTAATAATGGATTAATGAATAAACGTGTGAACAAGAGAAAGTAAATAAATGAATGGATGGATGAATGAACAAATGGATGAATGAATGAATAACTGAATAAACAGACAAATGAATGGATGAATAAATAAACAACTAAACAAAAGAATGAATTGATCAGCAAGTTATTGAAAAATTTTGTCTGAAAAACGTATTTTAAATTTCAAATAATAAAAAACCTTGAATTTAAATAAATTAAATGTAAGTAGTTGTCGAATAATGTTACTGATGTGACACAATTAAATGTAATAAATTTATTTAAAACGTTCAGTGAACGGAGCAGCATTAGAAGCAGCTGTTCGCAGACGATTTGCTGAGAGGAACCCCCCCCGCCGAAAAATTCTTCTTCTTCGACTGATTCTTCTCAGAAAACTCCACTGGTGAATTATTGAAATCTCATATGTACATATGCGGTTAACACATGCAGTGCTGATAATTATTAATATTATAGACGGGGCAGTCGTCATGATGACGATGATGGCTAAGATGATGATAATGATGATAATAACTATGACAATGATGATGATGATAACGACGACGAGAATGACGATAATGATGATGATGATGACAAGTGTAATTGCGGTTAGCGGGTTGATGATTTTGATGATGATGCCACTTTAATAATGATGATAATAGTCTTCATCATGATGTAAAAAAAACACGTATGCAGAGGCAGGCACTGAAAAATTGAAAGGCGTACATAAAAATAAACACTTGAACACATATACTCACACATACAAACACACACACAAACACACATACACACAATATATATACATATATATATATATATATATATATATATATATATATATATATACATACATGAATTATGCATGCACGTATTTTGTAAAACTCTTGGAAGAATAAGAATGCAGAACTTTTCTAAAAAATTCACTCCATTCAAAACTGATCTCTACTCATTCGTTTGTCCGTTGTTTCGTTCATTCACCTTTGCATTTGTTTGTTCTTTCATTCACTCATTAATAATATAGTTACTCATTCATCAATCCCTCATTTACATGCTAAGATGACTCCATTGTTCCTTTTTTTTTATTTCCAACTCATGCTTCTCTACCTACAAATGTCTTGTCTTGTCATCGCGGTGTTCAGTATGCATGCATGTGTATGTATGCATATGTGTATATGTATGCGTATGTGTGTATGTTTGCGAATGTGTGCATGTGCAGTTTAGTCAACTATTTTTATCGCTTTTTAATAGATGTGCGTTCGTTTAACGTGCACATTTTTCTACATTATTATTTTACTTCGCTCTTCTGGCGATGGTCACATAAAACTGAAGTTATACAATTTGCCGTTCCTGAGAAAAAAATTAAGTTGAGTATTCAAACAAATAAAAAGAAGCGCTGTGTCAATCAAAGGGAGGTAGCAATAAAAAATTGATGACCTATTTGAGTTTGCTAACGCGGGAAGGGACATAACAAATACAAAAAAAGAAGAAAAATGTGAACACAAACACGAATGCTAGCATAAACGCAAACATGAAAGGAAATTTATTTACAATGTATCCTATAATGCTCGTTTGTAGGCTTGTGTGTTGATTTAAAAGCTCAAACTTTCATGTAAGTGAACAATTTCTCAATGAAGCAAGCAACCGACAAACAGATTATTATTTGCACAAATTATTCTTTCCTGAGAGAATTTTTGTGTTCTGCTTTTACGAAAACTTGTGTGCTTGCGTGGTTCGCTCACAGATTGATTTTGACATTTCAGAACAATTTTGTATTCGATAACAACTGTAGAACAGATGTTTGATGCTATAAAAATAAATAATTTTCGAAATAACTATAAATTACAAAATAACGAAACGGTATAAACAAAAACATTAACGAAAGACAAAAAATAAAAAAAATAGAGGGAAAAAAACTAACCTAGGCATGCAGTGGGGTGGGTAATTGGTTTGTTGAGGTCCCTGAAGTAGCCTTCAGCGCAGTAGTGGCAGTGCCTGCCTGCCGTGTTGTGACGGCATCTGACACACGTCCCTCCACTCTTCCGGCCCGAGAGCAGGTACAACTTCTTGTTGAATCGACAGTGGCGACTGTGCTGGTTGCAGTTGCAGGCTGTTCGTTTGTTAGTTTAATGTTAAGAAATGATATGAATGAAACTTTTTTAACCTCAAAATATCTAGGATCAAATGAAAAACAAATGGATCGATGAGTGAATGTAAAAATGTAAGCACATTTTTAACCAAACCTTTCATCTAACTTTAAACCATTTCCAATGCTGTGATGTTTAATTAATTTTCAAATTACAAATTATTCTAACAAAAGTTTTGTATGCAATATGATAGATAATCAACTCTCTGCATTATCTAGCCTAGGCAATGGATGTTACGTGAAAGTTGCGTAACACGTTGCACGATGTGGAAAATTATTAAGTGAATCGTTTCGTTGAGCAGTTCCAATTCCGCTCACATACAGGTGATATCTGGGATTAGTGAGAGGTGTAATCTCCACAACAAACCATAAATTGCTTTTGATGTTGTTATTAAAATAGAATTAAACAAATGCTAGAAGTTGTTGTTGTTTTGCCTAACGAAATCTCGTATCACACATTACACAAAGAAACCTGACACAGAAAACAACAATAACAATAACAACAGAAGGTTTTACACAACTACAAAGATGGAATGTTCTGAAAAAAATATAACATCATGTTTGATTGTTGTTTAAACTTCACATTTCATAACAACATCGTTACAAATGTTGTCTTATTATATTGCTATTTTTCTATTCTTGTTGTTTGAGAATAAATTGTTATTGTAGGTGAAAAGTGTACGCGGATGTGGAAGTGTGAGCAGATGGTGCGCGTGTGGACATGCGGGTGCAGCCAATGCACGCTTCATTGCACCTTCCTCGTTATAATGATCACATTCACAATTTTCAACTGTCACGTTGACCTTTAGTTATTAATTTAAATTTTGCTACACGAATGAAAGAAATTTTTGGCAAAATGCCATACGTAGAAATTGTATCTAAAAAGAAGCAAAAAAAGTATCTATATAAGAAGCAAAATTGTGAAACGGGTATATATGAAATAAAAGCAAAACGAGCAATGGAAAGCAACTAACCGATGCATTCGTGAGCACCCCTATCGGTCGCTCTAGCCCACGGTCGGTCAGAATAAAATGGTTTACATTTCTCGCAGTCGTTTCCGGCTGTGTTGTGCCTGCACTCGCAGACCAGCTTACTGGATGCCTCCTTATCCAATCCACTATGCAGCAGTAGAGATTCTCCTTGCACGAAACACCTGCTGGCATGCCCGTTGCATTTGCATCTACCTCCCACCGCAAAATCAGAGAGGGAATAATAGTGGCTCTCTTTGAAGGCTTCGTCTTGCGCAATAGCCAGACGATTAAAAGTGACTCTGATATCCGTAGCAGTAACCCAATCTTGCAATACTGGACTATTGTCAAAGTAGTGAGCAGAAGGTCTTCCTTCAAGGGCAACAAAAGCAAGTCTCGAACCTGACCCAGCCGAATTGGAATCTGAAGTCCCAACAAACGGATCGGTGCAAAGAGCTTCTTGTTCGTTCGCTTTGCTTATAATTGCTTTTGGTTGTTTGTTGTACATTTGCTGACAATGAGTAGAGTAGAATTGAAAAGGGATCCATGTTTTGCCATTGTCGACACTTTTGTATACGGCCATAGATTCAGGCCTCATAGAACAGAATTGTAAACTGACGTATGTGATTTCAAATTTTTTTCCAATGTGTAATGTTAAAGAAACATTTTTCGGGTACTGAACGTTGTTTTCAGAAACCCAGCAAGTCAGATTGTTGGAGTTGTTGAGATCCGTCAGGTAGGAAGGTGGATGCTGCCGTCTGGAGCTAGATTTGTCACATAAAAAACAAGACTTTGAAGTCACTTGACCCTGCTTGTTGCTCAGTGGTTGGCAGTGTCTCGACATGCGGTTGCTTTCACCGCACGTGCTCGTTGCGACGATGGGTCTCTCGAAGGCCACGTTGACGAAATCAGCTGTGCATTTAATGGCCCTGCCTTCGTCGTAACATGGGTCTATGTTCTCCATGTCTTGGTTGGAAAATATTCCAATATGTTCAGCCTGGCTGAAGATGTTGCTTGGTTGACTTAGTAAACGCATTTGTGGAACGATCGTCAAAAACAACAAAACAATAACAAAGCGATTCAATGTTGTTAATAAAAGAAAGGATGATTTAAATGATGATGGCGATGATGACGACGATGACGAAGTTGATGATGACGCTGATGATGAAGACGATGAGTAATTTAGAGGAAATTTCGATGGCATTTTATGTACAATGCAGGTCAGGAACTGCTGAAGGAGAATGCATCAAACTCAAACCTGTGTGGTAAAATATTAAAATAATTTATTTTAATTGGAGGAACCATTCAAGTGAATAAATATATTTTGTCAACATCGGAAATTGAATATTAGTTCTATTTGAATAATTTTCATGAAAATAAATTTAAAAATTTACTATAACTTAAATAAAATTTTTGTAAAAATAAACTTGCGCAAACACAAACAACCCACGTGAAAACTAATTTTAGTGTAAGTATCAAATGTTGTTTCCATTGTTGTTAATTCAAGTTTAATACACAAGACTATGTATCGTCAGTTTTATAACTTGCAGACATTCATTCATTGATAATAAAAATTAATTATTTAATAACAATATCACAACTGCAATAAAAATGTAAATGCTAATAAAACATCGACGGCAACAGTGAAATAAACAACAACAACTACAGTGTAGCTAATAATAGTGTTGTTATTTATGTTATGACATTGCAACAAATTTGTCTGTTCATCCATTCAGATATTCATTCAAATATTCATTCATTCATTCATTCATTCATTCATTCATTCATTCATTCATTCATTCATTCATTCATTCGTTCATTCATTCGTTCATTCATTCAATCAATCAATCATTCATTCATTCATTGATAGAGAGAGCGAGTGACATCAATAACAATTACTTCTTTAGGCGACGATCATTCACGAGACAATGAAAAGTTGTGAAGTTAAAAGCAAGAGAAAGTATTGCTCGCTCGTATAAGTGTGAGTGTGTGTACATATATGTGTGTGAATGTGTGTGTATGTGAAAATATATATATATATATATATATATATATATATATGTGATTATGTATGTGCGGGAGTGTGATTATGTATGTGTGTTTATGTGTATGCTATATATATATATATATATATATATATATATATGTATTGCTTGAATTCTTTCGAATTGTAGAATTCAAGCAATATATATTCAAGCAATTTGGTAGAATTCATATAATACTGTGTAAAATATGGTCCCTTCTAATATATGAATAGAATAAATATATGAATATGAATAAATATATATATATTTATATATATATAAACAAGGATCGTTTTATGTGTAAAATCTACCTAAAATTGAACGTGATGAGCAAAATAAAAGGTCGTCAGGTCGCTATTACAAATCTTGGTCCTCCGTGAATATTTTGGGATCCCGTAAAAATTTTGGACGCCCTTGTGAAAATCTTTGGCCCGCCGTGCAAATCTTGGGCTCCCATGAAAATTTAAAAGTTTTCAAATTTTTGCCCCCTGTCAAAGTTTTCTAGATCTGCCACTGACTGCAGCTGAAATTAACGATCAGACTTGTGAGTTATTTGCAAGTTAACAAAAATTAACAGATATCATTTGACTTTGTCACTTCCGAGATCATGGAAAGGGCAATAATGGGCTCATTTTCAATTTCAACCACAAAAAGAGTATATAAATTGACATTTCTTATAGAATTATATGATCCAAAAAAACCATTCAACAAGATTAACAAAATATAATTTGTTCAGTTTATTCATTGTTTAATTTTGTTTCAATATTTATAAGTTAACCATCTAATAAAGAGATTTTCCCAATTGAAAACGAGTTTTAACCAGAATGAATGCACTCTTCAGATGCTTGTGTGTGCTGAATTTTTAGTTGCCAGCAGTGATGCTGCTAATGACGTATCTAGAAATCAGAAATTTTAGTGGAATCTAAAACCTCCTCTATAAAAGGACTAAACCTCAGGGTGGAAAATATCCCGGAAAAACAACCTTTACAACAACCCACGGACAAAAAGCCACTTGAACCAAAACTTCTGGAAAATCGTCTAAAAATTTAACGCGATAATCAAAAATAGCCACACTACCACAAATCTTGCTCCCCCCGGTAAAAATTTTGGTTCCCCCCTCTTGAAAATTTAAACATTTTCAAATTTTTGGCAACCCCAGTCACTGTTGCCTAGATCCGCCACTGTGTTTGCATGCGTTTGTGTATATGTACGTGTAATTTTGTGTATGGTCCTGTGTGTGAATGTATTGCTGTGGATATGGTATATATGTGTATATATGATTGCTTATATATAATACGTTCATATATAAATAAATAAATACCTAAATATAATATACATTCTATGTATATATTTACATAACACATCTAAATAGACAGACATTTATGATCCAAAATTAATTAAAATATTATAAAATTACGTAACAGTTATCTTAACAAGTTTGAATAAAGTAATGAATGAACAAATGAATGAGCCAACGATCGAACAACTAAACGAACGAACGAATGAATGGATGAATTAAGAAGAGGAATTAATGTTTATATGAATGAACGAACATAAGGACGGACGGACGGACGAATGAGCAAATGAATGAATGATCGAACGAACGAACGAATGAATGAATGTATGAATATGTGCGTTATTGTGGTCTGTTGCGTCTTTTGTGTTATTGCTTTATTTATGTTATAAGGTTGTTGCTGTTTTTGGTGCGTGTTGTTGTTCATAAATGTTTAGGTTTAAGCATTATTATAGATTATTGTAATGAATGATTGATTTAACTTTGTTGTTCAAGCTTATGTATTTGCATGCTTTCTTATTTATTGAAGTTTAGTTGTTAGTTAGTGTGTGAGAAGTGAAAAGATTTCAATTGATTGCATGCAAGAATACGTGACTAAGTTACTCGCGGCGTGTTAGCACTAATCTGTAATGTTGTAATTGTTTCAATAAAATTGATTGACGCTGCATTTCTAAAATAAAATGTACTGGTCAGATAATTAATTGATTGAACACTTTTTAGTGAATAATAACATCCACTTTTATTTGTACTGGTTAAGAGATTTAGATTTCAAATTTGAAGTTAATTGTTTCTAATTTAGCAGAGCATAAATGTGTTATGCACTTAAATACGTATGTTTTAACATTAGTTTTAACCTGCTTGGAAAGGCACGAGTTGTGTTTTGATGTTATAAGAGAACATTGCAAACAAAGCATTACATCGCATGGAAATGATTATTTTAAATTTTTTAAAATATAAAATACAATGTCACAGATATGTGGACGATCATGAGTGATTTGAGTATTTTGAGCAGATATCTTTCAGTATTTGTTATTTGAATAATTTAAAGAAAAGAGCAGTGAAAATAAAAAAACAAACAAATGCAGCTGAAATAAAGCTGTTCGTTTTATCGTTCCTGGTAAAGTTAAATAATAGAAAGTCTTAAAAAAGTGAGATAGAATAAACATTTACTCATTTCAACTCAATACAAAAATTAACGAACATGCCTATTAATCGATAACACCACTAGCGGTGAAATGAAAATTTTTTGCCACTGGAAAATATTTCACATCTCAAACACGCAGACAAATAAATTAACTCTCCCCGATCGTCATTCGTTGAAGAAAGCCTATTGATCTGATGCAAAAATGAATAAGCCCATAAAGTACGCAAATGTTGATTACATCAAAAATTTTAATAAAATGTAAAACAGGACTCGAGTACTAACTTCACTTGTTGGAATATTTTCTAAGTAGTGAGATTTATTTTATCCGAAGTAGAGCATCAAGATGAGAGAAACGTAGCAATCAATATTCAAATGAACTCCGCTAAGCGATTCTTAATAAATTTAGCAAAATTTATACGATAGATCACAATGTCTGCCTTATATTCACGGCATTGTTAGAAAGAGGCGTGCTAATAAAATGTCATTCATTCAAATGCAGATGTGTGATTGGCTATCATTAGCATAAATCAATATTCAACATTTATAACTATATATTCATCAAATTGCTTCAAATTCCAAAAGCGGTTTGCAATAAATTAGATGGAGAAGAACGATGATTGAACAAACAAACAGAATAATAAATAAGTTGAAAATTTCCACAAACAAACACAAACACATGGAAAACTCTCCTTATACAAATCATCTACTTGTGACATGTAGGCAAATAAACATATGCATAAACAACAAACACACAACAATACAAATACATCATCATCATTATTGCCATCATAATCATAATCATCATTATCATTACAACGTCATCATCATCATCATCATCATCAACACTTTTGACGTCATCACTTTCATTAGTAATATTTCACAATTAGCATATGCCCTCTTTACAGATTTTCTAACAACAAATTAATTTACAACTGTTAAGTAACATTGTATCATCGATGCGTGCCATATGCTGCTACTACTGAGGCTACTACTATTACTATTACTACTAAGACTAAAACTACTACTACTACCTTCTACTACTACTACTACTACTACTACAACTAGTACTACTACTAATAATAACAACAACAACAGTAGTAGTAGTAGTAGTAGTAGTAGTAGTAGTAGTGTAGTAGTAGTGGTAGTAGTAGTAGTAGTAGTAGTAGTAATAACAACAACAATAATAATAATAATAAATTTTATTATGGTTTGATGTGTGGATTTTGATTTTGAATTTTATTGTCCAATGTTGAATAACATTGAATGTTAGTTTTTATTGTAGCTGTGACGTGACAGTGAAGTTTCGATTGTAAAATGGAAGCATCACCATTCTTTATATGAAAATGATATCATCACCATCACCATCATCATCATCATCACCATCATCGTCATCATCATCATCATCATCATCATCGTCATCATCATCATCATCATCATCATCGTCGTCGTCGTCGTCATGCAAAAACAATTATCAACATTTTTTCAAACCGTAACGATAAAAACGCTAGGACAAAAATAATTGTGTAAAACTTGTTTTAAAGGTAACTAACTACTTAACCAAATAAGTGTGTTCATTATTACTACCACCACCATAACTCATTGTTATAATTGGACTTGCGTAAATCGTTTAAATATTCTCGACCA